TGTTTTACTCAGTTCTTTCATCTGGTGGGGACAAGTGATTACCCCCTTGGAAGTTGTTGACCCTTATGCAATGTCAACTCTTATAATGCCACCAGGTACGAAGCCACTTCTAAACAACTGTAATCAAGAATGTCTCAAAAACCTGGCTATCTGAAGTTGGCATACCTCAGGTATAACTGATATTGCATTAGTACATCGCTTTAGATTTACCATATTTTTTTGTGGTGGCCAAAGGATACATGTACCTATTAATGCTATGAGAGTGGCATTACATATACATGTATCACATGTAGTACTTATTATTATTTAAAATGGTCATACCATTGATATTGATAATAATACATGTTGAGTAAAGATACTCTTTTTACAAAACCAAGTCTCTTATTCAGCAGACTTTTCGGTGACCGTCTGTCACCTTCCTCAGGGCAATTCTGACTGGTTCACATTGCATTCCAGCATGCTAGCACAGGTGTCACTGCTAAGATGCATTCCCAAACGTATGATATTTACATATCTACACATATGCATGGTTTCATGTTGTAGAAATGACTTCAGTAATATTTGGCAGGATATTATATTGATAATGACAGTCAATTTCTCTTTATCTTCACAAATTATTTGTCCACTACATGATGACAACTCTCTTCCTGTAGGAGTGTACTCCATTATCTACACAAGTCAATTATGACAGCCACAATTACCCATTAAAAAGTCATATGCTTTGAAAACACATGGTCTGACTTACGCCCTTCTCTGTAAGAAAATAGGTTTTTGATGAAATCCAGCCTATTGTTATAGATTAATTGCTTATAGGTCAGATAGGATTTGGTACCCTGTAAATCTTGATCTAGTTAACGTTGACCTCAACCCTTCTGATGTTGCACAGTAGCCTTGAAGTTCTTTGATGTCAAAGTATAGAGAATGTACTAAATTAAATGTAGACGATTTTTAAATATGGTAACAGATTTTATGTAACTATGTATGACAAGAATTGAATGAAGTGTAAATATTTTATAATGATTGTGTTAACATATTTTAAGCTGTGATTTTATCCATTTAATTGATCTTAAAAACTACTGTAAAGTCTGACGCTAATTCAGTCTGCTGACTGCTATGTCAGATTATGTTTCCTTCAATAAACCAATCATCATCATCATCAGACGGGTTAGAGTGACTGACCAGTAACCTCCCTGCATACTGTTTCTTAATCATTTCTCATGTTATGAATTATATCAAATTGTGGCACTAGAAACCCATTACGGTGAAGTCAGAAATGTTACTTACAATAATGTTGAAGTCAACAACCCAACAATTACACTTGTATTATTATATGTTGAATTAGAGCTGTCAAAAATTAAGTTACAAATAATGTGGGAATTAAACAGCTGATTACACCCTTGTACAATATCATATTACAAATAGAAGATGGTATTACAAAAAGGCCTGTAGGCCCCTATACTACTTGAAACTTTTGATCAGGCACATTGTCCATCTATCATGGCCACTCTAGTCCTCCTAAGTTCTAACTTGACATCTGGACCAGTCAGCAACTGAATTGTCCTGTATTCTGCAAAGACAAAAGTTGCATTAAGTAACTTAATGTAGGTCTGGAAGGTTATCAGTTTTTGACCTGACTTGTCTGCCAAAATCAGCCACTATCTCTGGAGTGCGTAGATTAGAAGGAAAGGAAAGCAGAATAATCCCAGAGAAACAGATGTTGCAACCTCCAGGTGTAAAGTTCAGGCTCGGTTCCTGTTTATAAAACCCTTGCTGATCACATGGGACTCTTTCCCCACAAAGTGGGACCTGTGTGAAGAAATGTAAACCTGACCCAGGTGCAGGACTTGTGCAGGTGGTACAGTTGTTAGGCTACGCCGGTTCAATTTCTTGTTTCTTACATTTTAGATTTAAATTTAAAGTAGTACTAGACTAGAATACATGTTACATGATATATAAATGGAGTCTTACGGGAAAGCCTGTAATATCAATAGTGAACAGAGTCAGATGCAAGTTTTCCTGTTTTTGTAACATGTTCCAAAATCTCACCTAAAATGTCTGAGAATCAAAGAATTACATGTATATCAGTGTGACCTTACCAGTAACATTGTAGTGCTTAGCAATACTGTAGTATACAGGGACTCTTTTTATACAAAGTATGAATAATGTGTGAAGAAATATAAACTTGACCCTGGTTGTTCAGACATATGGTACAGTAGTTCCAGTTGTGACATTGTAGCTACATCAGTTATCAATGCTGTAGTAAGGGATTCTTTCCGTACAAAGTGTAACTTGTGTGAGTGAAATGTGAACTTGACCCTGGTTGCATGGCCAGGTGGTACAATAGTTACCAGTAGTGCCATTGTAGTGCTCATTTAGCAATGCTGCAGTATACAGGGACTCTTGTGGTACAAAGTGTAACTTGTGTCACTGAAAGTGTAAACTTGACCCTAGTTGCTCGGCCAGGTGGTACAGTAGTTACCAGTAGTGCCATTGTAGTGCTCAGTTAGCAATGCTGTAGTATATAATGAGTTTTTCTGTACAAAGTGATGATGAGTAATGTGTGAAGAACTTGACCCAAGTTGCTTGGACATATGGTACAGTTAGTTCCAGTTGTAGCATTAAAGCATCTCAGTTATCAATGTGGTAGTAAGGGACTCTTTTTATACAAAGTGTGACTTGTGTGAGTGAAAATGTAAACTTGACCCTAGTTGCATGTCCAGGTGGTACAGTAGTTACCAGTAGTTCCATTCTAGCGCTCAGTTAGCAATGCTGTAGTATATAAGGAGTTTTTCTGTACAAAGTGATGATGAGTATTGTGTGAAGAACTTGACCCAAGTTGCTTGTGGCATTGTAGCTACTCAGTTATCAATGCTGTACTATACAGGGACTCTTTTTATACAAAGTGACTTGTGTGAGTGAAAATGTGAACTTGACCCTAGTTGCACGGCCAGGTGGTACAGTAGTTACCAGTAGTGACCCAGTAGCTGCTCTGTCAGCAGTTCAGTAGTAATGGACCTAACACCTGTTTGATGAGCCAGGGACATGTGGACTAGTCCATTTCAAAATCTAACACAGTGGATGTGGATAGATTATTTCTGTCTATCCGTATCTTTGTTTTCATTCTACATTAGTTTTCCTATGTATCTCCCTATTACTAAATTAGCTTCTTCTATTATATAATTCTAAATATACACAAATAGGTATTGAAAACCTATCGAGTTGCTTGAGTAATAATCTATTGTGTATCTCATTATCTGGATGTCTAACCTTCACTGACAGATTTTGAATATATCTCTATATCGTTTTTAAATAGTTGAAGGATATTTTGGGTTGTATCACCCCCATTCCTCAGTGGAATGGCCCAATGGGGTAGCCATGAAACTGCCAAATATGTTTTTGCTGCCTCTGACCTTGAAATAGTGGGCTCAAACTTACAGATGGTTCCTGTTAAGTAGCAGCAACTTTAACTGGTAATAATGACTGCAGCAGAAACATCCTAAAATATTCATGACAATCTGGTCTGTGTATGCTGAAATCATTTTCGTTAAAGTTGGATTAAAAGTACAGTAACGAGTGTATAAAGATTAGGACAAAGAAGTTAAGTACTAAGTTAGGAATGAACAGATGGAAATATAGAGATGGGTGATTTACGTGTGCATGTACATGTATAGCAAGTATGTAGTCTTTTGATATATTGATACTGTTTCTTAAAATGTATTTCACTCACACACACACACTCACTCACTATTCAATTTGGCGATTTCTATTCTCTGTTTAGCCTAATTTGATTGTTAGACACACAGTTTTTCATAAAATCTAATGTTACAACACTTAATAAGCCAAACAGCTGGAGTAATTCAGGATTAAGGACAGCCTGTTTCAAACTCAGCCAGTTTAGAAATATCAGCCGCAATTTGCAGGACTGTGCCCTTAATTCCAAGGGCAGCACTACAATCTGTTAAGGTCTGAAACAGTTCAGCCTTTCCACACGCAAACAGTGTCACTGCCATACCTGAGCTACATAGAAAACAACAGTTACTACAGTTTAATTCCCATCTTTAAATTCATTCATATCCTAGTCCTATATAAGTAACCCAATTCAATTACTTGTTTTTCGGGTATCAAAAAATATTGTCACATTTGAAGATCAACTTGAAAACAGTATACCTTAATTGGTACATATAGTTTCAAGGACTAACAGATCTAGAGTCAGATGCCAATTTTTCCTTCCAGCCCTTTTTTTACGATTTCCTCTTGCTAGAATTTTCTATTTCACACATTCAAGAACCGAGAAATTATCTTGGTTTGGCTGAAATGGCTCAGAGGGTGACATGTATCGTGACAACAGGTTGTCACATGGGGCGGTCCTGTGTCAGAGGTCACGTAAACAGATGTGACCTGACCTGACCTTTCACCTGGTTTATCGTACGCTGGACCAGCCATTTCCTGCCCTGATGAAAGAACAGAATCTGACAGAGACATGTTTCTGATAATTTATTTAATAATTATCCAAAACCTTAAGGTACCTTACATGTAGTTCTTTCCACTTTATTTCTCTCTGTTTGTAAAGTGTCAATTGGATGATAATTTATTAATAATAATCCAAAACCTTAAGGTGTACCTTACATGTAGTTCTTCCCACTTTATTTCTCTCTGTATGTTAAGCTAAGTGTCAGTTGGATGATAGAACAGAGAACAGATGAGGAAACTGTTCCAATGTCTAAAGATTTATCTTAACTTTCTTCTCTCTTCATCATCTTTTTGTATCTGTTTTGCGTAGCAGATGTAACTGCCCTTGGGTGACTTTATATGAACACTGAATGACCTGTCCTGTCACACCTAACCTTTGTTAACCACAAATTTGTCTTACATTGTAGCTCTTACAATTGTGGTGAAATAAATTTTGACTTGACTTGACTATCAGGACAGAGATTTTTTCCAGCAAGTCTTTTCAAAAAAAGATTATTATATATAAGTTTTTGCTTCATCCTTTGTCCCAGACCTGTCCCCTGTGCCGGTGTACCAGAGCCCAGGTGTTGTGGACTTCTCCCAGGTGCTGCTGGACATCGAGAGGTTCCAGCTGGTGGTGGGAGCCAGGAACCATATCCTGGCACTGCAGCTGAGAGACCTCAGCCTGCTGCAGGTGAGCAATAGACTGGTTACCAAACCTATTTTAGCCCCAAGTCTTTTATCCGAGAGGATGCAAGACGCGGTAGCTAAAGACACTTTTATCCGAGAGCAGCAGCTAAAATAGCAGCTAAAATAGGGTCGGTAACCAGACTTTTGTTTTTGCTATATATTAACCAGGCTATTGCTATCATCCGAGAGGATAAAAGACTCAGGAGCTAAAATAGGTTTGGTAACCAGTCTATGTGAGCAACTAGGGATCAAAAAATACTTTTATCTACTTTTTTTCAGTACCTGTGATTTTGGCAGTTGTTAGTAAATCTCTTGCAAATGAATGAATGAACAAACGAACAGTCAAACAAATGAATGAACAAGTAGAAGACTAGGGGTGGTTGAGTGAGTGAATGATGTTTGTGTTTTTTACAGGACTCTGAGTGGTCTCCTGACAATGACACCAGGCTGATGTGTAAGAGTAAAGGGCAGTCTGAGGTAAGACCATGCCAGCCTGTTTCCTGCAAATTTCTCTGACATTTTAGCGAAAAGTCAGCAAGATGAAAACAGGTGTAGCTGATGAAAAGAAAACATTAATCTTTAATCATTCACACTTTAATACATGGTGAAGGTGACTGCTATGTCATCTTCAAGAACAAGGAACAACCAAGAGCTATCATGATCACACTCACAGTTTGTACCATGTTTTTTTTTTATTCAGGAGGATTGCCACAACTATGTTCGAGTTTTGCTGTCACACGGGGATGAACTCTTCACGTGTGGGACCAACGCTTTCTCTCCTGTCTGCTCCACAAGACTGGTAAGCCTGGCTTAATTTCAAGTCTTGAAATCGTTTCCACACCACATGGTGAAGATTGTACCCATTTGGGAAGCATTCACAGGGAAGCGTGTTCCATAGAGATGTAGGTCTAGTAAAGAAGCTTGCAGCGTGGAACTTTCTCCTGAGAGATGGAGGAAGAAAGGGTGATTTGCTTCTGTAATAGTAACAAAATATGTCCTGGCTGAGAAAGTTCAAAGTGATGGGGCACAAGCAAATGAAATTCCATGAAACATTTGCCATGAAAATAACGATAGTAACACCAGAATTCAGAATTTATTCACTCTGATTTTTTTGTTCATTTTCTCCCTCCGAAGCTGTCAAACCTGTCGTCAGTGAGTCGTGAGGTGAGTGGAGTAGCGAAATGTCCGTACGATCCGCAGCACAACACCACCGCTCTGCTGAGTACCGAGGGAGAGCTGTACACAGCCACGTGTATGGACCTTACGGCGCGGGACCCTGCCATATACCGTATGATGGGTCAACATCCAACACTTAGGACTGTACAGTACAACTCCAAATGGCTGAATGGTAAGAAATTTCTATTCGTAAGTTTCGAGATATTTAAAAGCTGTACACAGCCACGTATATGGACCTAACAGCTTGAGACCCTGCCAAAAACCTGTACTGTACAACTCCAAATGGCTGAATGGTAAAAAGTTTTATTCTGTGTTCATCATAACTTTGAATGATAAATGGAGTTTTAGGGCCATCATGAGTTATGAACAACTAAGGCATCGATACCATGAGCAAAGATAAAAAATTTTTCCTACAAAAAAAAAAGTAATATGATGCGACAAGTTACCATCAAAACTGTACTTAAAGTTTTCCTTTGTTCACTTACATTTTTACCCGTGTCACTTGAATTACGTAAATGTACATAACATGATTTTTTACATTTCTCTTGCAGAGCCCAATTTTGTGTCATCCTATGAGATCGGTGACTTCATCTATTTCTTCTTTCGAGAAACTGCAGCAGAAAATGAAAACTGTGGAAAGGTAAAAGAAGGTTGCATGTTACGCCAATTATGCCAGTCAAAAATCTGTTAGCAGTTTTCACTTTTTTACATATCTCAGTCATATATCTGTTGACAACATTTTCCAATCAATAGCTAACTTCTGTTATTTTTTAATTGCAGACTGTCTTCTCAAGGGTTGCAAGAATTTGCAAGGTGGGTGATTTACATATCTTTACATTGACACTTTTTACCTTTTGTTTGATTAGATTTTTGCACTGTTCCCAGTATGAATTTTTAACCTTCTCCCTGCTGCCTTACCCCATAACCAATGCAAATCAGGTGCCAAATGGCTACTTTAGCATAAAGTAAACTTGTTACCTGTTCCAGAATGACATCGGTGGACACTTCTTGCTGGAAGAAAACTGGACAACATTTATGAAAGCCAGGCTGAACTGTTCCAGACCGGGTCACTTTCCGTTTTACTACAACGAACTCCGTAAGAATGTCTCCCTGTATATTGTTTGTTTCTTTATCATCATCCACTGTATTCTACATCTGCAGTCCTAAAAACAACCTACAGCTGCATTCAGTCTTTCTTCATCTTCTTCCAGCGTCTTTTGTCTCGCGAGCTGCCTTAGCTCTTGGAGTTTCTTTTCTGTAGTACCTTGTAGGAGGGCCTAGCCCTCTGCTCTTTATGTCTCCCTTCAGCATGCTGAGCAGATTGATGCAGTGTCCTCCTTTGTGAGCCTTGTATCTGCTGGAGCCTAGGAATGAGAATTCCAGGGCTTGTTTCTTTATGTAACTGTATATTGATGTGGTATCAAATGGAAGAGTGGCTAGGCTGACAAATACAAACAGGACAGATACATGTATGTTGCTGTCCAAGATACTATGTATGTGCTGACGTAAGCTGTTTACAAGAAATCTTTACAGTCTTGATAGCTTGATTTGTTATTTTTACAGAAGCCACTTACTACAACCCAGAAGAAGAAATCATCTATGGAGTGTTCTCAACAGAAGAGTAAGTGCCAGTCCCAACCTGCTTCATGATACATAAGTCAGAGCAAGTTAGAACTCCTGGTAGCTGAGCTGTAAGCCTAGCCTCTACCAGGCACCGCGGATTGCTGGAAAAATAGTAGAAATTGGCCGAAATAAAGGGATAGTGTACCAGAGAAGATCCAGGGCCATAGAAGCTTCAATTTGCTATGGCCCTGGATCTTCTCTGGTATACTATCACTTTATTTCGGCCAATTTCTACTATTTTTCCAGCGATCCGCGGTGCCTGGTAGAGGCTACTGTAAGCCATTGACTGGCTACCGTAGTGTGCTGTTCTGTGATGGCGTAGTCCAGAATTTTGAGAAACCTTGAGTGTGTTATTAAAGAAAATACCAGCTGGTTTGTGTTATGCAGGTTAAGTGCCTTGTGTTGATATGTTTAACACTGTTTGTATTGATACTTGGCATATGGAGTAAACACTTGTCACCTTTTTTATCACACAAATTTTTATCATAAACACTTTATACAGGGAACATCTCTGGATAAATCAAACTTAATGTATGTTATTTAAAAGATGGCATGTCAGCCCTGTCAGCACACCTTTTATCTGTTATCAGGTCATTACATTCCTTGATTTTGATACTGAAAATTACTGAACCATGGAAAAGATGGAAACACAGAAGTAATTTTTGGTGTTAGTGTCTTAAATTTGTACCTGTTTTTCAATTTACAGAAATGGCATAGCAGGTTCAGCTATTTGTGCCTACAACTTGTCGTCAATAGAGGAAGTCTTCAACGGTTCCTTCAGATACAAGCCCAACTCCAAGTCTGCCTGGCTTACGTCTCCAAACCCCAATGCAAATTTCCAGGTAAGGGCCCAGATATGTTTGATCATCATCACCTTAGACACTAGCTTGAAAACAAGTCCACATCATTATCCACAATTGTAATACTAATATCACATGTTAAAGTAATGCTGGTCAGTTAAAACATGTCTGAAATTTATCTATCAACAGGAACAGCCAAAAACAGCTCACTACACCAGAGTCCATACCTCTTCAAAGGCAAATTCCTGTACTTCTAACCCTTCAAAACACAGTGTAAACTGGTGTGAGTCTGGAATGTATAATCTCTGCATCTGATTTGGGGAACTTTGGACAATACCAGTGGAAGGCATTTCAGCACCAAGGAAGGGACAGCCTCTATCTGCCACTATCCTTATGTACACTGTTGTTGGATTGTAGCTCCAGTGATTTGCTGTGATATTTTCTCAGCTATATTGTTATACAGTCTGGAGTCTCTGGACATTTTTGAGTAAGATTTCAACAAATGATTAATGTCAAGAAAAAAGCATGTGAGAAAAATTTGACTGACTACATTCACTCTTAAAAACCGTATGTACCTCAGACTCAGTAGGTTTTCAGGTTGATATTCCAGCTCAGCATCATTTTTCTGAAGTCCATAAACTGTTTTAAAATTGTTGTGGCCTTACGTTACAATACCCTTACCATATGTAAACCCTACAGTGTGAAACTGTGGGCCCTGACCATCTACGGCCAAACCAAACAAGCCGGTCTCTGGAAGATGCCATGAAGTACCAACTCATGGACCAGGCTGTCCCCCCCTCCCACCAAAATCCACTGGTCCAACAGGAATATGACAGGTAACCAATCACTACCTACTGGTCAAGTTTGAATTCCCATATTGAGTGTAGGAGTAGAGAATAGCTACATCAAATGGGGGTTATAATTATTATAAATATTCCAACATTGGTTGCTTGGTAGTCACTTTCCTGTCTTTTCTCCAGGTTTTCTCACATCGTGGTGGACAGAATACGAGGGAGACGGGAATTCTTCAGTGTCCTGTTTGTGGCAACTGGTAGGTGATAGATAAATGATCCTTATTATGTCTACCCTTGGAGAAGCAAAATGTATTATTTTTGCTCAGATTCTTCTTCTTCTTCTTGCTCATTCAGTAGTGATGGCAGACCCCAATTCTTGACATACAGAAGTGTCATTGGGCAGTTGTGGCTTCTCAAATCATCAGTACAAAATTTTTCTTTTCTATCTCCGTAGTTTCTGGTACTCTCAGGAAGTACATTGTTCTCCCCGGCACAGACCAACCCTGTCTGGTGGAAGAGATTCACCCATTTCCGGTGAGGATGTTTACAGTAAACTTTGACATATTCTCTGTGCTTTTTATCCGAGTTTAACATTTGGTTTGTCTAGTTCTAGTTCTATACTTTAAAGTGAAATACGACTCTGTGTTACAGGAAGGAGCTGCAGAGCCTATCAGGTCCATCACTCTGCTGTCAGATGAGGTTAGTCAAAGTTTATCATTGCATGAGTGCCACCCTGTCACACATTTAGTACCTTTCCACAATTTTGATTCCAACCACTCCCCAAGCAAGCTGTGGCAATGGGTTGGGAGTAGCCTGGAATCCATCCCATGTAGTTTAGCTCCAGTTTGCTCCTCTAATTTCAACTAAGCAGAATGTGGCTTTTCAGCATCAAAATTTATAGTCTGGCCAACAACTTTTAAAGGTAACTTCGCTGATCACCAACTCCCAACCACAAGTGTCCTGCTCCGAACTAAACTTTTTCGAGACTAAATTTTTCATAGTTGTGAACAAAGAAAAATTCTGTAGATTCACTGTTTATTTTGGAACTCACAAAAGATTAAACCCTCGGCTTTCTCCGCAGGAGGCTATCTATGTGGGTTCCCAGACTCGCATAATGAAGGTCCCCGTTCACAGGTGTCAGCAGTTCAAGTCCAGAAAGTAAGTCACACTTTAAATATAATAATCTTTCGCACATACAAAGTGAAGATGATGTTTAAAGTTAAAACTTTTGTTCCAATACAAAAAATTCTCTCACCTATAGAGCTTTCGACCAGTCTACTGAGGAAGACCAGAGTGACTGGTCGAAAGCTCTAGGTGAGAGAATGTTTTGTGTTGGAACAAATGTTTTAACTTTAAACATGTAACTACCAACACAGATAAACTTTCATGATAGTATAAGAAGTGAAGATGAGTTTGTTGGTTCTCGCATAGTAATAAAATAGATAGCTCTAATTGTATATTCATGGCCTATTGAGCTAAGTACAGGCATTCCAAAACAGAGTTAGAATAGTAGTAGTAAAGTGCAGTATATTGACAGACTGTTACTTTTCAGAACCTGCCTTCTTGCTATGGACCCCTACTGTGGCTGGGACTCCTACAACAAGAGATGTGCTTCCCTCAGACAAAGGTGAGTCAGTTCAGTTCAATTTGTTATTCTTGGCATTTCAGTTCAGATTTGTTATTTTTGGTATTTTGAAGCATTTTGAAAGAATTTCTAACAGTTTTGTGTGGCAAGAGAAAAAAAAACTGTGCATGGCCTCTCCTTGGTGCTGAATTAGCTTCCATAGCACTGCACAGATTTTCCCAATGGCTGTAGTGTCTTATTTTGAATTTTCCCACAAACCAAAGTCCCAAACTGTTGGTTACTGTTTTTGCTTTGTTTTCCTTGTTTCCACAGTATGGAACACATGCAGGACTGGCACCAGGACATCAGTTCTTGTCCTGTTCTCAACCTGCCTGGTTAGTATCAGCCCTTACTCAGTGTTTGTTTCACATAACCGGTAAACCGACTTTGGGCATAGCACACTAGTTTTGTACAGTAAACCAGACTTAAAGATTTGAATCACTCACACTGTGAAGGACCCCTACTCCTAAGTGCCAGTGGGATCTTTAATGATTGAAGACCTTTATTGTACATTTTTGCCCCACTGGGCACAGATCAAACAATAACAAATAGATGTAAATATAAACGTCTAGAATACATATTAAGTACTTTAGACTTCCTCTTGCTTCTTGGTAATCACTTAAATGTAGTTGGCTGTATGATCAGTTAGAGCTCGAGGTGTGGCTCTCCTCAAACACGGGACCTCTGTGCCCATTTTTAAAGAGTTTATTCTGTATCGGTATAGCCGGTATAACCGCCCTTCAGCATAACACACCAGCTTTGCAGGCACGCGGTGCGGCGGCAGCTAGCTATATCACACTGAACGCCTTGTTACACCCAATCTTTGCACATTTATTGAATGTAGATGACTGTTTCAATGTTGTAAATGTTTCTGCCCTGTCCCCAGTTGACGGAGGGTACAGCGAGTGGTTGCCATGGGAACCCTGTACGCAGCTGCAGGAGAGCGGCGAGTTGACGACCTGCATGTGCCGGTCCAGGTCATGTGACAACCCCGCCCCACGGTGTGGGGGGAAGCCGTGTCTGGAGCCGGCCACTCAAGTCTCCAACTGTACAAGTAAGGGCTTTGTTTTACCTTGTTGCATCTGATCTAGCATTCAATTCTACTTTTAGGCACTCTCCATTGTGCTGAAATGCCATCCTGCTTTGGATGTGTTTTGTTTGAGTTTGTCATTTTGGACATATTTGTACATGTATGGCTATATAGACCTCGAAATGGATATACATTGTACGTAAAAAATTTGTTTTTAAAAACTCACAGTAGGTATTCATCCATCTTGAGAAATTCCCAACAGAAGATAAAAATGTCATAGTTAATGAGGCTTCTGAGTTTCAAAGTTGGGGTCATGTGGCATAATGGCAGAGTGCTCAACTCGGAACCAAGAGGTCCCAGGTTTGAGTCATGACATGCCACTGATCTTGTGCCCTTGGGAAAGGTACTTTACGCAACTTTCCTCACTTAACTGAAGTGAAAATGAGTTTTGTCTGTCCTGTATTTGTTTCTATGTGTAGAACACAACACCAGCAACAGCTTCTTGTGTCCCACATGTATATTGCACTGTTGCAATTTCAATAAATCAAAATCTAAATCTAATCTAATTTCAGTTAACGGGGGCTGGTCGGAGTGGTCAGTGTGGACATGCTGCTCGAGAACGTGCGGCCCGGCAGTGAAGATGCGACACCGGTCCTGCACCAACCCCGCACCCCAGTACGGTGGCAGGCTGTGTGTGGGATACAGTCAGGAACATCTCGTCTGTAACAACCCACCATGTCCGGGTGAGTATTTAGACTTCATATATGTTTGTTTGCTTGTTTGTTTGTCAGGTTGTTAAACAGCTTCTGATGATAAGTGGGGTTGTGTGGCGTAATGGCAGGTTGTTAGGTCCAGAACCCAGAGTTTGTTTGTTTGCTTGTTTGTTCTTACCTATAGCTTTTGACCAGTCACTCTGGTTTTTCTCAGTAGACTGACCCAGTAAGACTTGTCACATGGCTTCTATGAAGTGTGACGTCAACACTGGGTCAAACACAGATGACTTTTCATGATTGCCTCTTTGTCAAAAAAGTGGGAATACATGTACCTTTACCTTACCTTATAAGAGCTTTTTTCCTAATATTCCTTTAATTTAGGTTAAGAAAGTCCTTTGTACACATATGTGCAGGGTTCAAAGTGTGGGTTTTGAAACATTAAATGTTTTTCCCTACGTTCTTGCAGAGGCCAAAGGGGTGTGGCTGGACTGGTCGCCATGGTCGCGATGTTCCAGGAAGTGTGGCGGAGGGATACAGGAGAGGACCCGGATGTGCACCGCCCAGGAGTGTCCCTCGGGGTGTGATAAGGAGTACAGGAGCTGCAACACTCAAAACTGTCCGGGTAGGTATATACAACCGTACTATATTTAACACTATTTTACACAGTCCTGTAGATGCTCACCCAAGATATTTGGATAAAAAAATCCACTTATCCGATAATAGGGAATGTCTTTCAAATCATCCTTGATTCCTGCAGCTGATTGAATTTAGTAGAAGTAGTAGTAGACAGTCCTTGGTCGTGAATTTACTGGATGCAGAAATCATGAACTGGAAGACTATTTTCAGGAACTGTTGTACAGTGTATTTTTATTGTCATTGTTTTCATGTCATCTTAAAAATGTTCTAACAGAAACCCGAAAGTCGACCCCTTGGAGCCCGTGGATCCACATGAACATCACGGACCAGGGTGGTTACTATGAGGGCCGTGTGCGTTACGTGTGTAAAGCCCGCGTGCCAGACGACAGCTTGTTATGGGTGGGACATCGCAGGCTGGACATGCGCTACTGTGACCCCAACAGTAGACACTCCTGCGCCACTAAAGGTACAACACTTACTGGATAACGAATAATCTTTATTAAGGCTATGCCGTTTTAGCCAATCGGTATGACCACAGCTGCACCAGGTACCACCAATAAGACACAAAATTAGTACCGTTATTCAAAGACGAATCAAATTGTTTACCTGAATGTCTAATCTTCATCAATGTAAATTCAATGTGTATGCACATGTATGTATATATGTACATGTATGTATGTATGCATGTATTTATATTTATACATACTGTTTTATCAGGTCCAGCTCGAGTTGTCCATGGGGTGTGGTCCAGCTGGTTACCATGGTCGCCATGTACAGTGAGCTGTGGCTCGGGGGTGAGAACACGGCAGCGGCAGTGTAACAACCCCCCTCCCAGCGGCGGTGGTTCGCCCTGCCTGGGGCCGGATGTCATCTACAAGGACTGTACCATGGCACCTTGTACAGGTAGGGCAGGGTCCAGTTGGAAACTTGGACATTGAAAAATACTGTCTATTCCATTCTACAATTCTATTTTACAGTAATACAGCAACGCAATTTGATGTTCGTAATGATTATTAAAACCTTAAATAAACTCTTAAAAGGAGTGAGAGTAAAGTAGCAAGCTCTATGACCAATTATCTTTTGATTCGATACATGGTATTTCTTTTCATTTAAAGTTTTATGAGTTGAGAAAAGTCAAATAGATTCTAGTTAGTCCTCATTGATCTAAAAAAAAGGGCTGATAACTTGGTAAAATCATCCAAGTTAAACCTGAACATGATTATCTACAATGCAATGTGATTACATAGAAATTTAACATTTTTTCATGGTCTAACTGATCCTACTGTATGCTACAAATGTGCTGTTTCTTGTCCCCAGCTAACAGCACGTGGTCCTGTTGGTCGGAGTGGTCCCATTGTTCCGTTTCGTGCGATGGCGGGACGCGTTTCCGCACTCGGACGTGCTTCGGGATGGGTCAATGTGACGGGGACAGGCGGAAAGAGGAGACATGCAACACACACCCATGTCTGAGTACGTCTGAAATATACTGTTAACTGAGTGTGTGTTGTTAACTGAAGTGCCCTTTGTGGCAGAGACTGCCATTCTCATACAGGCCTGTCCAGCCATAGCTGCACCTGGCTCTAATTAATTAATTATTATACAATAATTTCTCAAAACATTGTATATTTTCTTTTAGTGGAATCAGGATTTTTGCATCAGGATGTCTTAGGAAGAGTCATTAATTCAGTGTCCAGAAATATTATTGATATCAAAATGTCAAAAACAATCCAACAAAGATTTTACATGCTCCTGTACATTCCTCTGTCCACACAGTAAACGGTTGGAGACACTGGACCCCCTGGTCAGCCTGTGATGACTTCGGGCTGCGCAGGAGGACCAGGGAGTGTGGGGAGGACCCGCCCCTCCCTGGACACTGCAGGGGAAACACTACACAGGAACAACCCTGCCAACCTAATGTCATCCTGGGTGAGGTCTTCCTGACTTTCCATTTACTTCTCGCTACAGAAGGATTTTGTTTTCATTTGCAATTGTTTGTTTGTTTATTTGTTTAGGATCTCCATTAGTGTGGTAATTCACACTATTCTTCCTGGAGTCCTGGTGATGATGTAAATCGAATGCATGTATAGCAGTAGGTATCCTTCCATTTTGAGATGTATGTATGTATGTTTTGCTAGAGGGCACTTGAGGGGATAACGTCTGCCATCTAGATCTCTGATGGATTTTTCTTGTGTCTTCCAGATGATGTCAACATCCAGCCGGTCCGTTCTAGAAACTGGAATAAAAAGATCGACCTAATCTACATCATCATCGCAGGAATAGCCTCCTTCTTTCTGGGAGGAACTCTGTTCTTAGGATCATACATCTACTACCTGCGCTTCCAAGAGTCCAGAATACACCCCTGTCACAAACACGTAAACGTCAACAAACCAAACAACAAGAAAATGATCAACACGAAGCCTAAGATGACGGTATACGAGGCGAGTAAAGGAGATCCAAAATATGCGACGTATAAAGACCCTTTCTGGGACTAGTGGAGATTTTTTGTGATCTTAATGGAGCGTACTGAACTCAAGTATTGCTCCTCTTGTATACATGGACCCATACAGGGGAAAAATGTGAGCATTTGAGAGCCAAGGACAGCAGGAATACCAGTACTGCAGTGCTCTTCAGAACTGCATAGAGGCGCCGCTACATGGTGGACCAATGGCCGCAGACTGCAAACTGCTTCTGGAAATTCAACTGGATTAATCTAGTGTGTTGATGGAAGAAAAAAATGTGGAGAAATTTGGTGAACTCAAAAGGGCAATACAAAGCAATGAAGTGCAAGACAATGCTGAATTTTTGTCAGAAACTTTGCTGGACTTCCTCACTTGATGTATCAAATGGATAACTTTTCTTGTGAGAGACTTCTCCAGGTGCTTTTGTAACTTGTGAATTTGATGATTCTTTATTGACTTGATGCTGACAAGCCATATTGGTAGAATTCCTGGTAAGATTTTGTGATTTGTGTAGTTATATTGAATACCAGTACTTAGCACTGCCAACTCTTTAATCCTGTATTCCAATACTTGTAGGCACACTCAGGACTTTCACGTACACCAGTTTCTATCGCAATCAAAGGCTGTGATTTTGGAAATGACTCGGGATACTCAAAGGCTTTCTTCCAATTTATTTTCTTGTTTTTCTGACAAAAACAATCATCCTGGCTTTTTGCCAGATCCTTTACTTTGAAACTCACGCAATTGTGAATTTAAGCCATATTATGCCATCCAAGAGCATTCTCTTCTGAAATAGCATCTCATTTTCATCATGTAAACAAAACATTGTATATGATACACCTGACTTTAGATATCTCACAATCTCTATTTTTATACAAAATGTTGTTGAATACATCAAGAAACTGCCTGGTATCTACCACAGTACTGAATGTGTGCCAAATTTCAATGAAAGGATAGTCTGTATTTGTATAATAAGAAGGTCTATGAAATGGCCATTGATTTCTGAATCATGATTCAGAAGAAAGTAAGGTGTATATTTCTGGAAATTTCAATGCTAACCTGCTTGTGTACATGTATATAGCGCATATGATACTAGATTGTGTGTGATTTTCTTTATACATAGATATTGAGGATTTCTCTGTTTCCAGATGCATATGCCAGAAAATAAGAGTGACAAAGCCAAGTGCAAATTTTCTGCCATGTGAGGTCAAAAATGATGGTGAAAGACATACAGTGTGTATGTTGATCCTGTTTAGATAGTAAGGAGTAAGAAGAAATCTTTGATTGTCCAGATTGAAATCTTTGACGAGTAGAGTGACCCTCACAATCACTAGATCAGTATGTACTTATACATAGTTAGTTAATGATAGCATTCATGCACATTTAAGGGCCACTGTAATTGTTGGTGTTTGGATGAATCTGGTATTGAATGGCAGAGTGATAAGGAATGACAGCTTTGTAAGGCCATGTTGATTTAATTATATGGATGACATCCTCCGGAAGCCCCAAAACTGATGCGCGCGTGCGAATAAAAAAGAAGTTTTGCAAATAAAAAAGTTCTTTTCATTATGAAATCTACGTGGTCATGAGGGTTGAGCAAATGGCACAGAATATGGTTTGGCGAATAATCTAGTCTTCAAATTCATTTCTTTACAATTTCGTCTTTTTTCGTTTGATTTTGGCCTTCTACGACATTGGTATAGTTTTTATTAATTTCTTTTGTAACTTATGGTATATTTTTGCTCATTTTGCAACTGTTTTGTTCGATTTACCGTATGGTTGAAAACTTTTTTTTTTTTTTAAATGGCCGAAAATTCATGCGCGCGTGGATGTCATCCATATAATCAAATCAACATGGCCTAATCGTTGGTGCTTGGATGAATCTATTGAATGGCCGAGTTATAAGGCATGACAGCTTTGTAACATGCTGAAAATCTACCAGCTGGATTGGTAGACCAAAAAGTCACGGTTAGTAGGAACTGTTCCTTATTAATGCACCCATTCGTAACATCATCTAGTTAAAATGTAGACTTTCATCATTATCCATAGGTCATACACATTTTGTACAGTTTGAAAGGTAGAAAATTTGGTGCACAAATTTGTTGATACTAGTAAGTCCATGAAATATTGAATGAATTTCACCGTGTCACACCTAACTCCAGTGTTAGAGTTGTCATCTCTTAATTTAAGACCTGTTGTCATGAAATATGTAACTGTATGTTTTACCTACATTTAGCCAGAATTTCAATGAAATTTTTTGTCAAAACATGCATGTTCTGTAAAAGTTTTGCCATCAAAGTTTACTACACAGTTATCATCATAACTTTGAGCATATAGCATTAGCCAAACTCCCAAAGTTTCTGGATAGGTACATTTGTACTACCTATTGCCAATATTTCTTAATGAGTAACGTGTTAACCATTTTCCACCATGTTTGTAATAGTGAATATGTTATGATTGCCTTGTATGTATAGTATAGACCTGCCAGCCTGTAAATATATGTAGCAATTAATGTGCAATCTGCGTAGAAACTGAGTACCAGCAACTTGATGGAATTGTAAATTTGAAAATTCTAACTCTGCATCGTACTATGTAATGTTATACACCCCTAGGTCCATAACAATTCAATATGGTGGCTGTTGGATTAAAAGAATAAGTTCATGGTAGTTCTAGGATCGTCCCAAAGGTGATCAAGTAAAAATAATATCTGTGGTTGAAATTCTAAGCAGTTGTTTAATTTCAGCAAGTTTGCTAATGTCCAGATCACTCCTGAATGTTACAGTACAAAAATGGTAGTTCACTTGTGATAATTTGATACAGGTTTCTAAAGCAATTACATTATGGACTTGAACTGAGTACTGCATGTAGTATCTGCATACTGTATCAACAACTCATGATGTGACAGAAAATAAAGTTTCCCATCAATGACTGTTTGTGTTTCTTGGTACAAGGTATCAGCTAAAAAGGCCACATGTACATGGAGCCATGCCAAATGCTATATATATATAATACCTTTGTGGAGAAGGTTACGTGTTGCGTTGTGCATGTGTGGTGTTTGTGGTATGTTTGTAAGTTGTCATGACTACAGATGTGGGAGATGATGTTTTGGTATTTCAATGTCAATGTTATTTTTATTATCAAAACAGTCGGCAGATGGTATTTCGTTCCGTTATGATTAATACATGTATCAGAGTAACGACTTGGAGAGATCGCGTCTGCAAAATTGGCGCGCATGGAAACACACAACGTGTTTTTCATGTTATCATTCAGCATGACAGAATAGCTCGTTTGCAACAACAGTTTTTAATTTCACTAATTGCAATCAAAATGGTTCATAATAGAAATAAGAATAATGCTGCCATAGACCGACCTCGTTGTTACACCCACCTGTGTCAAAGGCGGAAACAATAAAAAAGAACCACAGTTGGTCACTTTCTCATGCCTACAAAGCTAATTTTGACGGGCAAGCAGGATCGATCGATCATATATCGCCATGAAGATGATGAAAATGCTATTAACAAAACAGTTAACCAAATTTTTCTAGTTTGTCACATGCAAATGATTGCAGTAATTATGTAATCGCGTTGATTGTTCTTCAGATAAGCAGAGGGAAAAGGTCTGCAGTAGCCACAAGTTCGTTCGTCTTCTAACGAGGAAAGGATCTCGCAATTTCTCCTGGAATCTGGTTCATAATTTCTCCACAGGCAGCACTGAAAAGGTAAGCAAGATATTTGTAGACTATAGGAGACTGAAGGACTGCTCATCCAGTGCAGATTAAGTCGAGGTCACCAGGGTTACGTTGGGCGTCGGACATTTCGCCAGTGTGTATTTAGAATTCCATTCGGTATTTTATTACCAACGGGAGAAGGACAAGGAAGCCCCGCTACCATCAGAGCGTTCCTCGTCAACGAGAGTTTCACTTGACGTTCCAGACTGAGAAGAGAAGGCAGACTCTGGGAACCAGGTAACTGGTTCGGTGGAGTGTTGGACTTTCCCAACAGACAACTAACGCCTCGGCGGCTTTGTTGTCTTCCACGTTGTCAGGAAATAGAGCAGAAGACCGCTGTACTACCGGATTTACAGCCTGGTGGGTCAAATTGCTTCGTTTTTTTAAAGCAAATCAAAAGGAGGGGACTAGCAACTGCCGGTTTGATCGTCTGTGGACCCAGCGGAAATGTGACAGCGGGTGATGTAATAATAACGTGTTTTCCTGTGTTTTACGGCACGATGAAAACGGAGCCCATCTGCAGGACCGTCCGTCTAATCTTCTTAATCATCACGGAAACTCGTCAGAACGGAGGAAGATTCGCACTAGCGTGAAAGGTGAAAGATGATGAAAGAGAAACAGGTTTCTGTACCACGTTCTCGTGGCATTTCATACACGTGTAATCTGACGCATTTGAAGATGGACTTTGGCGTGTAAATGTGACATTTAATGGCGTGCATATGTCAAATTTAAAAGCTCGGCAGTCTAGTATCTACAACAGTGTTGTCTCTATGCCATTTCCAGTCAGAAAGGAGTTTGTATGCCATTTGATCAGTACGTACCTCAAAGCACCTCTAGTGTTTCCACTGTATATCAGTACGATGACGGTGATGACAATATAAATCTGTAGCAACACAGTTAATCATCGAGTATAATGTCGTTAATGGAAATGTATCTCTTTAATCCTATGCATCCACGAACAGGATAGACCACTGGCCCGGATAATCTTCCCTAATGTGTTTCGGGTGAATCAAAAGCAGATACGCGCACGCCTACGCACCAAACGCCTGCGTCGTTATAAAGGGAGACCAAGCTCAGAGGGAGGCAAACGTCAATCATCCGTCGTACCTCACTAACGTTGCTAAAACCCGCTCGCTCCTCAGTAGTAGTGTGCATCTTCAAGAGGGCCATGGAGGGGAACATCAGCGACACCATCACGACGTTTACCCTTCCCAACGGCACGGGCCCGTGCCTGGAGTGGTTCGCGGGAAACGGTCTGGGCGAAATCCTGACCTACGAGACTGTGAAGATGACTTGTGCCGGATCGAGGTGGGGTCCCTTCGACTTTCCCGGCAGGGAGGTCCTCACGATCACAACAAGTGTCATCGGCAACCTGCTGAACAGCCTGGTCGTCTTTGCCGTGGCGAAGTTGCATCAGCACACGCCGCTGTACTACCTGATAGCCAACCTCGCCGTCACCGACATCATGACCAATGTAGTCGGCAATGTCATGCTCGAGATAACGGATATCGTGGCGTATCGACAATACGTCTTACTTCTAGTCACGGTGCTGCACTTCCCTGTGATCCTATCGCTCACGGGGTTGGTGCTGCTCTCTATGGACCGCTACGTCTCCGTGGAACACGCCATCTTCTACCACGCCACCGTCGGAGGTGAACACGTGCTGGGGGCGGTGGCAGGGGCGTGGGTCTCCGCAGCTCTGCTCTGCTTCTCTCCGATGATGGGGTGGAACTGCGACTCGATGGACACTGCAGAAAACAGGCTGTGTTTCCTGGGCGCGGTGGAGGGGAGCTACATCCTGTTCATGACTGTCCTGTGCACGGCGGGAGTTGCCGTGGTGGTGTTCACCAACGCGCGGGTCTTCCTGGCGCTCCGACGGCGCCTGGCCGTGGTGGAGGGCGGGGAACAACGGGAGAACGGCCGCGTGCACATGAACCAGCATCAGATCGTCCTCGCGCAGAAGAAAGCCAGAAGTGTGCTCGTCATCATAGCCGTGTTCCTGCTCGCCTGGCTGCTGTTCCTGTCCTGGCAGGTGAGGATTCTCGTCACCATCTACAACGGCTGGGAAAACAATCCCAAAATGAACGTACATTTCGGGGTTGTCTTCGTCGTTGTCGTGTGGTTAGTGCCCATTGTGAACCCTCTCGTGTACGCCTTCCGACTGCCGACGCTGAGAAGCGTGGTCTGGAACAGTTTTCGGAACGGTTGGGCCAGGCTATGGCGGTGTCTCAACCCACCACAACAGGTACATCCGGCTAACATGGACATGGCAGTCATTGCACAGTAGTTATAATTCATTTCACATGTTTAAAATCTAAATAGCTTACTTGTAGATGAAGCAGACTATTGAAGCTTTTAGCGTGGCCACTGTATTGGTGAATATCATTACTGTAAAATGTTCAGTTGTGTTTAAGAAAAATAAATTGTAAAATGGTAAATATCATGTATTTTTGACGTTGTATGATGCTGTAATGATGATTACAATGTAGTTTGTAGCATGACAGCTGTATTGGTGAATATCATTAGTGTACTAGTCAAAATGTTCGGTTGTGTTAGAAGAAAAATAAATTGTAAAATGCTATATATCATTGTATACAGCTACAATGCTGTCGTTATGATTGCAATGTAGCTTGTAGCATGACTACTGTATTGGTGAATACCATTACTGTAGCAAAAATGAACGTTGACATGTGTTATAAGAACGTAAAACGTAAAAGTAGTATATAGTGGTACAATGTAATGCAATGTAATTTTGAAATTGTATATGGTTACAATGTCTAATTATAATTGCGATGTAGATGTAATGTTTAGGAATTGTTATTGTCAGTTTAATAATCTATTTTGCAAGTGGATGGTCGTGACTTTGAAACTTTGGTTCTTGACAGCTTAGAATTGCAAGTCAATGTAATGTAGTCGTCTTTCGTGCACTTTTGGCTGTACATTTTGTTGTATAACATAGAGAACTGTTAATGACTGTTTTGATATCTACTTTATCTTGGATCATCGACTGTAGATTCAAATACTTGTAAATAAAATTCTGTTGGACCGTTATAACTGTGTGGTGCACTATCCTATATTATTTATGAGCCATTTGCTCGTTCAACTATTGGAATATATGCAACGTCGTGGGGTCGTGTGGCGTAGCGGTAGCGCGTTTGGCTCAGGACCAAGAGGACCCGGGTTCGAATCCTACCCTGTCACCGATCTTGTGCCCTTGAGAAAGGCACTTTACACGACTTTCCTCACTTCACTCAGGTGGAAATGAGTACCTGTTACGGACGTCCCCGGATAGGAAGTTAAATGGAGGTCCCGTGTTTGGGAGAGCCACACCCCACGCACGTTGAAGAGCCCACCGCACTTATCGAAAAGAGCAGGGGACCTTCCCGGTGTGAGTGGTTCAAACCTTACAGTCCGGTCTTACGCAGCTGGTACTTACATGTACAAAACTGGTGTGTTACGCCTAAATGCGGTTATGCGAAACAAACAAACAAAATGACAACATGAATACGGGAATCACCCGGTACAGTCAAAAATATAAACATGTGGTAATCAAGCCTTCTGCCTATTTCGTTAGATCTGGGTTCTCATTAGAGTGTCATTTGTTAAACGAAGTGGTGTGGCCTTCATTGGGTACACAATCAGCACGTCAAAGCACGTTAGTCTAATGTTCTCGGTGCATGATAATGAATGAAGCACGAGGTCGTGCTTCATTACAAAGAAAGTTTCAGAAAGTTTGCCCTCGTTTTTAATCGTTTTATACCACATATATGGTGGCGTCGTGTGGCGTAGTGGATAGAGCGTTCGGCGCTCAACAAGGAGCCCCGGGTTCGAACCTGGGTCGGAGCACGGGGGCATGTCCGAACATGCGCACCGACGTTGTGCCCTTGGGAAAGGCACTTTACACGTATCCCCCCTCAATTAGAGGGTCAAGTCTCCAACGGCAGTTGTCTTCAGCTGGCGGACGAGAGCAGCGCCAGGCGGGCTGGCGTGATCAAGGCGGAACTTGAGCGTAACCAAGTCACCGGCAGCTCGCTGCAAGCACCCGAACCGGAACCAGCATGTCTCCCTCGATGGATCCGCTGGGGAAGACGGATGCCCAAGTGTGTGGGTCTCAGATTCGCAACCTGTTATCCACCTTAAACAAATTCACGCGAAGGCTACCGTGTCAACTGTGACCCTCACTCAGGTGCAGGGGCTGACACGGTCATCATACTCGGAAAGTCTGTATATCTGTACATGAATCTGTATCTGTGCATGACTATGTATCTGTACATGACTCTGTATCTGATTACAAATAAAGATCACGAGTGATTGCCAAGAAGAAGATACCACATATTCTCTAAAGGCAGTTGTCCATATCTCCAAATGAGCTTTTGGTCCAAATCAATTAACAAGTCGGCTTTCCCAAGATTTGATTAGCCAAAGGTTTTCATCTCATCAATTTTATGCATCCACAAAGAAGATAAGACGGGATAGAAATAAGTACCGGCGACCTTGATGATCTTTCCCCATCGAGCATTCGTCAAGATGCATCCTGTTGTAATTTGAATAAATTAAAACAGATATAAAAGAAAACGTGTTTCAAGTAAGCAGTCATAAAGGGTACCGGTTAGCGAAATCGGAGGGAGACACAGATTGGTGTCTGTCGTGCCGCTCCAACTTTACCGCAACCCGGTCGCTTCTCACTGTTCAAGAAGACATGGAGGGGAACATCAGCAATACCACCACCAGGTTCACATTCGCAAATGCCTCCGGCGGCTCGTGCCTTGAATGGTTCGGAAAAAACGGTCCTGGCGACAACCTGACATTTGAGACCGTGATGACGATTTGTCTGAATTCCAGTCAGATTCTCTTTAGCTTTCCTGGCAGGGAAGCTTTGACAACAACATTGAGCGCCATCGGTACCCTTCTGAACAGTCTCGTTGTCTTCGGCGTTGCTATGTTACAGCAACACAAACCGCTGTACTACCAGATCGCTAACCTGGCCGTCTCGGATATCATCACCAATGTCGTCGCCAACGTCATGCTCAAGTTACGGTCCACCGTAACGTTTCGAAAGTACATATTATTATTGGTCACGGTGCTGCACTTTCCCGTGTTTCTGTCCCTAACTGGGCTGGTGTTGTTGTCCGTAGATCGGTATGTTTCCGTCCAGCACGCCATTTACTATCGCACCACCGTCGGCAGCCGGCACACTCTGGCGGCGGTGGCCGGGGCTTGGGTCTCCGCCGCTCTGCTCTGTTTCTCCCCGTTGATGGGGTGGAACTGCTACTCGATGAACGCTAGTAAAGAGCTGTGTTTCCTGGGCGCAGTGGAAGGGAGCTACATCCTGTTCATGACTGTCCTGTGCGCGGCGGGAGTTGCCGTGGTGGTGTTCACCAACGCGCGGGTCTTCCTGGCGCTCCGACGGCGCCTGTCCGCGGCGGCGAACGGCAACCAGCAGGCCGGACGCGTGCACATCAACCGACAACAGATCGTCCTCGCACAGAAGAGGGCCAGAAGTGTGCTGGTCATCATAGCCGTGTTCCTGCTCGCCTGGCTGCTGTTCCTGTCGTGGCAGGTGACGACGCTCGTCTCCATGTACAACAGCTGGGACGGGATGAACGGCATCGGCAATCTGTTTCGGTTCGTCTACATCGTGGTCCTGTGGTTGGCGCCCATTGTGAATCCTCTCGTGTACGCATTCCGGCTGCCGACACTGAGAAATGCGGTCTGGGACAGTTTCAAGAACGGAGGGATCCGCCTATGGCGGTATCTCGTCCGCAAAAGGAACGTCCAGCAAAACGAACGTCCGGCTACCATAGACGCGCCTGTCGTGCTGCTGAGTTACAGATCTCGAGATTGCTTGTTCTAAACAATATGGCTGTTACAACAATCGGTAGCCTCCATTGTATGACAAAACAGTCGATAGCTACATAGAGAGACTCTTGTATGAAAACTTTATGCCTATGTTGGTAGTTTGTATGTTTTTGTACGGTACGTATACGTCGATGAAGGTTTCTTTTGTGCATGTATCATTTCGTTGGGAATAGGAGAATTGTATTTTCGTGAGTGAAAATCGTAAAAATTGTATTTTTGGTGGTCAAAATAAAGAATACGTGATACTAAGTAATAATTGTGATGGTGTGTTTTTACACGTTGCCTCTCCATTAACTAGTAATTCTACTAGAGCTGTGACCGTTTAGACACCATTGACAGATTGGTAGATCTCTCAAAGATCCGTTGAGTGAGTGATTTCATTGATCTCTAAGGTATCATTTATTGATCAATAGAATACAAGTTAAGTCAATAATGTTCTAGTGACCAATGCATTGTTCTAATCTCCAAGCAAATTCTGTGGGACAAGAGAGTCTATATTCGCCGCCTGTAACCATTGGCCAAGGCGTGCAGGTGGCTATATAATTTCCAACAGAATCTACAATGTACTTGGAGATTACAATTGGTCTGCTCAGACGTCGGTTGCCAAACAGCCTCCTAGTCCTACGCTCTCCCGCGAGAGTACAGGACCTACATGAAAACACATCAATAAGCATACAGCACGTGTACGATGAGCAACGAGCGTATGTTGCTATGATGTTTACTAACACTGATGACCTGCGACATAACCAGGCTAATCATCACGAAAATTGGATAGGCATAACGGAAACGCACATCATCATTTTTACACACCCGTTATTCCTCATTAACTTCATACAACCATAAAGAAGAGTTTGTGGCAACAGGCAATTCACCATCAGTGACGCTGCAACCTTTCTGAGAAATAGGTCAGGGTATGGTAGGTATACAGCAGGCTTAAGCTTACATCAAAGATCATATCCTGACTCCATGCCTTTATCCGATTACAAATAAAGCGTTTTTAGTCCTATGGGGAAAGGATTACTTTCCAAACACAGGTTTAGGCTTTGAGGTATTTTGGACGTGTTTTTAGGCGTTTTTATCGGGCTTTCTTTCTACGCCAGTCATACTTTGGCTGGCAAACGGATACTGCCCCGTCGAATGGAAGGATGTTTCGGTGTTTCTGTTAGATGAAAAGCAGTAAAATCGGTTTAATCTTCTTAATACAACTGCCTCATGAAAATGTTTCCGGATCCATAACGGAAGGATATCAACTTGCCAAACAATCTCATCCAGCAAAGAAGGGGATCAAAGATAACGCCCATATTGCCTGTATGGTATTCTCTGGTGGTCTGTGCCTGTGCGTCAATGATGGCAGCGACTAACTCTCATGTACGCATAAGTGGGCAAGCAAAGTGCACTTCCCCATAATCTCCAAGCAGATCCCTTTTGGTAAGAAGACACTATCCATAAGCCAGAGGAGTTTGTGCGGCCACTTCCCCAGGCAGCGCTAAAGGGACGAAGCTAGTGGCTAGCTGTTGTTTTCCTCCATCAATTCCTTAATTTTTATTTATTTTTTTTTGTTTTTTTTTTTTTTGGAAAGCTGTTCCTGGTAGGAGGTATTACATGTAAAAGGATAAAGCGATTTCTAAAAAGATCATTGTGGATCATCCGGAAGAGGACAGGCTCTCTGAGATAGGAACATGTTTAACCCAGTTCAGTAAAAGAGGTCAAAGAGGAACAAGTTTAGTAAAGGCTTTACTAATTTAAGGAGGAACCGTGAACACTAAATGGTACAGGAAGACTCTCTTGTTAGGTCATCATTAATATGTGAACAAATACGTATTATGTGTGATATATCATTTTAATCTACTAACTTTGTATGATCTTCACTGCAGGCAGAGCTCTGTCTTTACCGCTATTCACTTGGCTGAATGTGTTGTACTGTGAGCGCGATACAGGCGCCTTGATTGAATTTGTTCGTGTGGGCCATCGTAGTTTTTTTTAGACCTGTGTAGAATGTACCAAACTTACCAGACGGGATTTCAATCCATATAATACATCATTTATTAATTTTTTCGTTTTATTTCGTACCTTTGTTATAAAAAGCAACTATGAAAAAATATTTGTGACAATATTAGATGGTTTTATACTGCCGTTTATGTCATGCAATTTATTTGTAAAATCATGTGATAGTTAAAAATCCCCCATATCTGAGTAGACTCGCCCACAAATCTCATGGCATAGTGCTTTCCAAAATGGCGGACACTGGATGAAAACAAAATCTGCCTTGTCCAGAATTTACCGTTTTTCTTCATTTCACGGTACCTCACCCTTCCACAAAAAACACCAGCTATGCCCAAGATGGTATTCTAACTCAGGGTGACAAAATTTTTACAGTTGCAATCGTACTTTTCCTTTAAACGGGTGATTTTTCGATAAAAAGAACCCGGCAGCTGTATAATTTTTTACATGACAGCTGGCGTCGAAGTGAGCCTACTCTCTACGGAATTTGTTCGTCGCTTTGTGAATAATTTCCTGGCTCATAACCTATGGAAGTATCCGGACATCCCGGCTAACTGACGGACGGTGTGTGGAGAGATGTCCGAGTACAGCTTTGACGGCAGTGAAGACCAGGAAAGCGAGGACTGTCAACTCGTGGTACGGCGAAGACCGAAATTTAATTAGCCTCTACCAGGCTTCGGCAAGTGGCTGGAAGGAGTAGAAAAATTAGCCAGATAACATGCCAGGGGAGTTGTGCCACTAAGGAGTAAATGTGCTCCTTCGTTAATTTCTATTCTTTCACAATGCTAGCTGCCCGAAGCCTGGTAGAGGCAAGGTGAGGAGCGATATCGTCTGGCGCACATGTTTACCGTTAAATCAAAATAATTAATTTCAAGGGGCTGAAAAGATTACTGGTAATTTTTCAAGGTTTGTCATGCATATGTAGTCCAATACTAGTAGTTTTTTTTGTTAGTTTTTTTTTTCAATAATTTGAATACATGTTAAGTGTATGACAGCTGGCATGTTCTAGAATTATCTCGTCCTTGATTATTTGGCATCACAATTTGGCACACAAAATGGCATGTTGAAATTGAATATACTAACTGAATATACTATATACTCCATATACTAGTGCTATAGTGTAACTAGCCGCGGCGACTGTTGCAGGGCTTCTTTTGCTTGCAGTCTTTTACATTAGGGCTAATGTAAAAGACTGCAAGCAAGAGAAGCCCTGCAACAGTCGCCGCGGCTATAGTATAGTGTAACTTGTTGCCACCAAGAACAGTTGCCACCATCACTAGCTTTAAACAACTGCAATTAATGTGCAAAGATTGAATGTATTGTAACATTACAAGTCGTTCGGTGTGATATAGCTAGCTGCTGCCGTGCCGCGTGCCTACGAAGCTTGTGTGTAATGCCGAAGGGCAGTTATACCAGCTACACCCATACACACATGATACAGATACAGATAGCTAACCTAAAGTTTCCCCCTGCCGTACAGAACTATGCCCCAGACGTGCTGAGTGAGCTGGTAGATGATGTCATCCTCGGCTTGTGTTTTGACGTCCATCGCTCCTGTAAGATGGGAACCTTCTTCGTGGATGATGTGGATCCTGCGTAAGGCTCAGGCTTGTTCTTTATTGATAAAGAAATCATTGCAAAAAAATCAGAAAAGATATATTGCAATAGTTTGCAATGACAGCGAGATTGTGTGGCGTAATATGGCCCAGAACCTATAGGTCCTGGGTTTGAATCCACCAACATGCCCCAATGTTGTGCTCTTGGGAAAGGCACTTAACGTTTTCCTCATTTCACTCAAGCATGTTAAAGATCCCACCTGAAAGAGTAGGGGTCCCTCCCAGTGTCTGGTCTCAGGTTTGACATCTTGATGGTCACTTGTAATGTCGATCCTTTTGCAAATGTAGTAAGTCTTCATAAACATAAAGAGAAATTGTAGCATGAGCTCGTAAAGCTCGTAAATCACTCTTTTGCGGCTCGCCTCCTGGCGTCCGGTAACGGCATCATCAGTTTGCTCTTACGCTCTGATGCCTTCCCTAGAAGTCAGTTCTGGCGTCGATACTGCCAGTTGGTATGCAGACCTTAAATAGGCCCCGTTTCTTTTATCCTAGATATTGTATTTTTAAATTTATGTATTTTGTGTTGTCTATGTTGTCTATGGGCTTTGCCTGAGTCAAACAATAAATAAATAAAAGACTACTCAATACTAGTACATATAGAATTGAACTCAATGCTGTGTGATGATGAATCTCTTCTCCTTTTTTTCAGAGAACTCAAAGAATTTGGTAAGTAAAGAAACATACTACTAGTGCTAACGAGACTTTAATACTACTCAGTATTTTTAGCATAAACCAGGCAATCTTGCCTTCATGATGTTCAAGAGATATAGAAAATATAAAGAACTTAATAAAATGTTGTAGCAAACTTATTTGAAACGGTTCTATATTTTACCTTTTCCAGAAATAGTTGACCAGGTGGGCCTGGATATATTTGGCCAGCCGGTTTCGTCCAAGAAACAGTACGAGTGTGAATGTCCAAACTGTGGTCGGACCATCTCTGCCAACCGGTTTGCTCCTCACCTGGAGAAATGTATGGGGATGGGCAGAAACTCCAGCAGGATAGCCAGTAAAAGGTGGGCAAAATGTTTGCGTGTCGCTACTTTGGGATGCAACTTTTAGATAATGTCTTAGCCAGCTGGTCGTAGCAGCACGTAGGCAGAACTACTATGCCTGCAAAAACCCAAAATGTATTGTGCTTAGCACTTTGGCAGAAAGTCTCATTTAAGATCATAGTAGCACATTCAAGGATGACATCCCGTCTATAGTTTTCAAATGTGTCATTGACATATAATCCAGTTAATGTGGTCTAAGTAGATATGTCTTAGTAGCACGTAGGCAGAATGTACTATGCCTGCAAAAACCCAAAATGTATTATGCATAGCACTATGCATAGCACTTTGGCAGACAGTCTCATTTAAGATCATAGTAGCACATTTAAGGATGACATCCCGTCTATAGTTTTCAATTGTTTCATTGACATATAATCCAGTTAATGTGGCCTTACTTTTAAGTACTAGTATACGTGTTAGAGAAGTTATGCTGTTGTGTGTAGTTTGTAGAGGCTAACTTCTACACGTAACACAACAGTAAACATTTGACACTCTTTTGTATAATCCAATATACCATATATAATTCCCTGCTCCCTCCCCTAACCCAGGCTCCAAAACACAGGCAAGTGTGAGTCAGAGGGTGATGATGATGATGACAATGACTGGACATACGGAGAGAAGAAGAAGAAAAAGAAAAGTGACAAAGTAAGGAAGATTACTGTTTGTCAACATCTAAAACTGAAAACATGAGTTGTTTACCCATAAGATGCCATGCGAACTAGTGACTAAGCATGCTGGTAAGAAATAGAGGTTGGGAAAAGGTAAGCTAGAAGAAAATTATGGAGAGAGTTCTTGATTTTTATAGAAACTGTATTCATTTTCCTAATATAGTTATAAGTCTCATTCGCAAACAGTACCTCTGTTTCCAATTATTATAAACAAAGTATTCAGTACTGTTGAAAACACAGTCTTGTCAGCATACGGGTTCATGTTCTTGTGTTGAAGTATATACATGTATTCACATATGATTTCCATCCAGAAAGCGAATTCCCCTCGCCAGTCCAAGCCGTCCAAATCCAGCAAGAATGGAGACATTCCCAGTGTGAGCAGTGTAGGGTCAGACAAGGTAAGGACATGTGTCTGTCAATATTGGACAGGAAAAATGCTGGCATGCCAATTTCTGGTGCTCAGAATATTAAATGAGCCTGACTGTTCATCCCATACCATGCAGAGGTTTTGTTAATAGTTTAAATTTTGCACAGTTACTTACTACTTTCAGCAAGTCTACACACACTTCTCTATAGGCTGTACCCTTGGCAATTCTAGTGGGGATTTTTAAGGGTCTGACAATAACTTATTACACACAAATTACATGTCTCTGAAGAGACAGACAGATGTCTTTTGTTCTATGTGTTCTAACTATTTCTACCTGTATTTGAATGCAGTCGTCTGGTGGTTATGTGAACTATGAGGCCATGAGTATTGGTAAGTAACTTGTCCACAGAACTTTATCTTCATGGCGGTGGCAAAGGGGGTGGGATGGCAAAAAACAAATGATAACAGTAATGATAAATTCACTGTACACAAGTGACTATGGAAACAATGAAGATAAAAGTACAGTAAAAATTTTTACAATATATCATACACAAAGTTAAAAATGGTCATGAATACCCAAAATACTACCTGGAAGTCTGCAATGTCATTTCTTGTTTAGGACAAGCTAGTTTATTATTTGTTTTATGTAGCTGTTTCTTGTTGTCCACAGAGGAGAGGAAGGCAGTGCTAAAACAGATCTGCGGGGTGATCTCGGAGCACACTAAGCGGATGTGCACACGGTCCCACCGCTGTCCGCAGCACTCTGACGAACAGAGGAGACAGGTCCGGCTCTACCTGCTCGGCAATGCTGCTAGGTGAGGAACTACTCTTTCCCTCCCCCTGTGCCTCTTTTCTTCTCTCTCTTTCTCTTTCTCTGTCTTTCTCTCTTCTCCCTCTCTCTGTCTCTCTCATTGTCTCTCTCTTTGTCTCATTCTGTCTCTGTCTCTCCGTCTTTCTCTCTGTCTCTCTCTGTCTCTCTCATTGTCTCTCTGTCTCTCTCTCTCTCTGTCTCTCTCATTGTCTCTCTGTCTCTCTCTCTCTGTCTTTCTCTCTAGCTGTCTCCCTCTCTCTCTCTCTCTCTCTCTCACACAAAAGTTGTCCTAGTTTTTGTTAAAATGGGTACCTGACTTTCGTTGGAGAGGTAAGTAGAACGAGAGGGATGGGCTCCACCTTCCAATACCGTGCCCTAGACACAGTGGATAAACAACCCACTGCCCTTACACCTGAAAAAGGCTATGGGACTACATTACTTTTATTTTTTATGCAATAAACATTGGATATTGGGATTTTCTAATATACCACCGCATTTACGTTTATGTTTACGCTTACGTTTTGATTCTAGTTGACACCTTTGAGCTTCTGACTGGAGTACTGCTTCTTGCCGCTATATGGAGCTGATGTATAGCAACAAGAAGCAGTACTGATGAAATTATTTTCAGATATACTGGTAATAAACGTTGTAATTTTCTAACCTTACATCATGTTCCCCCAGCTCCCTGTTAGATGATGATGTTCATGTGGACATTGATGGTTATGAGGACTCCCCGGTGGTGTCGACCCCGGCCCACCACCAAAACCTGCCTAAGAGGGACCACCTGGGTAGGTTCATGTCAGCTCAGCAGGTGGCTGCCATGGCGGCGGGTTTACCGTGGGACACAGCCTCCAACAGCTCCCCCGGCAGTTCTGGTGAGTACTGCAGTACTTTCATCTACTATACAAAATCCTGGGCAAAGGCAAGTAGTCTGTGCAGTGGGCCTACTTTTAGTCTATAAAGATTATATTCTGAAATCTGTAATGTCTTTTTCTGGGAAATTTTTTGAGCTGGGTGTTATAGGGCTTTAGTTTGTTTTATTTTGTTGAAAAAGCAGACATTCAGTCATTTGTGTTGTCTGGTTCACTGAAGAAGATATTAGTCCGGTTGCCAAACCCCTGATTTTTGGAGAACCTTGCAATGCGGTCCATACAAAGTTTTTTTGTTGTTTCTATATCTCTGAGGTGTGCTCTTTCAGAATCTGAATGATGCCACTCTGTCATCCTTGGGCAATTCGCACAATATGCAAATAAGGGCGGCCATTACTGAAAATCTGTTTTTCGTCAATATCTCAGTAACTACTCATGGTATCAGAATAATTTTGGTGTCTATCCCCATGTTTTGAGGGATAACGAATTAAATTAAGCCATTTCAGTAAAGATAGAACCATTATTTTTTGCTACATATGCAAATTTGGGCCTTGTCTGTTATTGACGCACCTGGCTGCCAGCAAGGAGGGGTCCTAATTCCGACCCATGTTCCATGCAAACGCACATGCCTTGGTATAGTTTATCGGACCCAAAACCTGTTCAATATTGAAAGACAATTCTAAGTTTACTTAAGTCTAGATGGCAGACGTCTTCTAGCATGAAACGCCGCTTGCGTATGATTGTAGACACTGGCTGTTGGTTAGCTCTGGCTCATATATCTGTGTTGGGTATGAAGTCCTGTCGTCTGATGCTTAAGATCTTCCTCACGCATTCACTATCAGAAGCATCTAGTGATTTCAGTCTCTTTTCTTGGCTGATTTCCACATAGTAGGTTTCAAAGCCAAGCTGGTTGAAGGCTGCTGAGGCCTTTCCAAGTCTACAGTCTAGCTCATTGTCCATCTGTCCTTTGTTGTTGATGGAGCTCCCAAGGTAGGTGAAGTTCTCCGCCACTTTCAATTTGTTCTCGTCAATGGTCACACTTCTAAGAGGAGCACGTGTCCCTATCAGCATGCTAATTGCTTTTGGCCCTGATGCTGAGCCCAATGCTGTCTGCAGACGGACTATGTTGGTCACTAGGGGTTGGAGATCTCTGGTGTTTTCCGCTATGTCGCAATGTCGTCTGCAAAGTCAAGGTCGGCAAACTTTGTCTCTGGAACCCACTTTACCCCCCTTTTCTCCTGTTGCTTCCCAAGTACGTATACCCAGTCGATAGCCACGGGAAAGAGGATCTGTGACAGGACACAACCTTGGAGGATCCGTCTTCAAACCACCCGCTGTATCTAGATTCCTTCAACCGTCCGTACACAACACTTCGAGTTTCAGTATATCTGTTTAACTGTATACATAAGTTTACTTGGCAGCCCATAACTGTACATGATAAAGAGGGACTTTAGATGCTATCAAACGCCTTGCAGAAATCAATGAATCCGATAGCTAAAGGGGTTTGCAGTTCAGCACATTTCCTCCACCGCAGGGTGAAGATCTGCTCAGCACAGGATCTCTTTGAGCGAAAGCTAGCTTGTTTCTCGCAGCTCCCAGAGGACCTTGCCTACTGCATCTCTCATGCGGTTCAGGAGGCATTTGGCATACACCTTCACTGGTATAAAAAAGAATTGTCACTCCCCTTAAGTTATCACATTCATTCAGGTTTCCCTTCTTTGGAATGCACACTTTAAGCCTATGTCACAATTCAAGAAAGGGGCCCGCTCGGCGCGTTTTCGGCCTGTGTTTTTGGCACTACCGAATTCGGAACGGGACCTGGAAGGCAATAGGCGGGGTTCCCGACGGCTGCCGGCCTATTTTTTGGCCCCGCGACGTCGCCAAATTGATTTGACTCAAACTTAAAATCACTTCAGGCCCCGGCGGGCAAGGTACGCCGAAGCGACCCCGTAACCTCACCGGACCAAACCGTAACCTAGCCGCCGGGTCACGCACAGACACCTGTCCAAGATTATGAAGTCACGTGTGTTGTTCTGTGCTAGAATTGTTCAGAAGAAGGTAGTTATAGACAATATAGAGGGTACTGTGCTGTTCTCGACATAGCTACATCATCAGTCAGTCATAGTGACCATACACTGGTCTGCGCATCAACCAGCAGGGCCGAACCCACCATACCAGCCACAGGCGTACCAGCCTGGGACCTGCCAGGATCGCCCCTTGACCCCGCCAGGGACCCTGTAGCTGCCCGGCCGGAATGCAAGAGCTAGTCGGCACCCTACCGCACCCCGCACAGGTCTGACAGAAGACTGACTGGGCACCGGATGGGTCCCTAACAGAAACCGGTCGTCAAGGGGACCAAAATTTTGTGAATTTTACATAGAAGCCGCCTCAGCGCCCCGACAGGGAGCCGTAAAGGAAAATTCAATTGTGACCCTGACAGCCGGCGTACGCTCGGCTTCATGACGCCGGCCGGCGTCTACACCGAGAACATGCCGAGCAGGTCCCGTTTCAAATGTGACTCCAGCTTAACTACTGATCCGTTCTTCCAGTCCTCCAGCACTTCCCTGTGATCGCCGTTGAATGCCTGCTTTATTCCAAGGAAGGCGTACTAGGGAAGATGGTTATGGTTCTATTAAAGCGTTTGCGATGTACGGCGATCAGAAAAGCATCCATCTCACAACACAGTCACCCTCGGCTTTCAGCATCTCTGAAGTGATGCCATTCATGCCTGGTGACTGACTTCAGCTTCGGAGATGTCCTCGATCTCAACAGGTAATGGGTGTAGGTGACTAATGCTACTGAGGTATGGCTTGAGCGGTTTAAGACTTTTTGAAAAGTATTCTGCCCACCTGACAAGCTTGTCCTCCCCTAAGACAGTGGTAGGGTCCCATCCTTCGCCTTAATTAGGACTGTGCACTTTTGAGCGGCCGCCGGTCATCTTTTTGGAGATCTGTTAAGCTTTGGTCCCAATTGTAAAAAAAAGTCCCTGGCGGGTAGTTCCCGGGCTGTTTTTGACACTTTCAGGCGTGGGACACCCCGCGGCTACCGGGCTATTTTGGCCTGTCCGGGAATCAAGAAGAATTCAACTCTGACTTAAATTCTACACGGGCCACGCTGACATAAAATTCAGGACGTCAAGTTAGCGCTTTATTCTGCCTGTACACAGACGCTGGTAAGGCACAGGTGTGGGCTTATGAAGGGTCTAATATTTTTTTAACAGATTGTATCATTTATTAACAATCCTATCAGTGTTCAGAGGTACAGGCGCCCATGCTATATACTGGTTAGTTTTTGCATAATTTGCATTAAATGTTGGTGTGATTAATACTGGGATGGTTTATTCTGATTATCTAGCCTTCAAAACATGTGTATAGTACAAATGTATGTGTATTGTATCAAAATTATTGTTGATACCATGAGATTTATTGAGATATTGACGAAAAACAGATTTTCAGTAATGGCGGCCTAAATTTGCAAATTAAGCACAAAAAATATCTATTTGATCTCCACTGAAATGGCCTTATGCTCAATAGTTATTCCAAAAAAAAACATGGGGAAAGACACCAAAGATATTATAATACCATATGTAGTTACTGAGATATTGACGGAAAACAGATTTTCAGTAATGGCCACCTTGATTCGCCTATTGTGCGGCTTTAATTTGCATATTTCAGCACAAAAAAACTGGTTTGATCTTTACTGAAATGGCTTAATTCCATTCGTTATCCCTCAAAACATGGGGATAGACACCAAAATTATTCTGATACCATGAGTAGTTACTGAGATATTGACGAAAAACTGATTTTCAGTAATGGCCGCCCTAATTTGCATATTGCGCGGCCCAAATTTGCATATTTAGCAAAAAATAGTGGTTCTAACTTTACTGAAATGGCTAGATTTAATTCGTTATCCCTCAAAAGATGGCGATAGACACCAAAATTATTCTGATACCATGAGTAGTTACTGAGATATTGACGAAAAACTGATTTTCAGTAATGGCCACCTTAATTTGCATATTGTGCGAATTGCCCAAGGATGACAGAGTGGCATCATTCAGATTCTGAAAGAGCACACCTCAGAGATATAGAAACAACAAAAAAACTTTGTATGGACCGCACTGCACGCTTATCGGTCTCTGCCACCAGACTATATAGTTTTCGTGTGGCCATCATCTGCCAAGGGTCACTTATATGTCTTAGTAAGCGAAGGCAAGCCAAGAGAGAGACACATTGTCAACATGACATGAAGAGTAGAACTGTGCACAGTAGAACTGTGTATGTACACATGTATGTAGATGACTGACATTTTCTCTCCCACAGTTTCCTCCATGAGGGTTGTCCAACAGTGGGAGACTATGGGGATGACAACAGGTCCTGCCAGTAACAGTAAGTCCTATAACTATCTTAATTTATATAGAAAGGTAGACATGGCCAGATCTAGTCAGACTGCTTACAAACTTCAGCCAACCAGCACGTGCGCGAAACCCATAATGTATTGTACATAGCACTTCAGCAGAACGTCTCATATAAGGTTGTATTCGCTCATATAAGGTTAGAATTTCAACAGTAGTTTCCAAATGGTGTGTTGGAAAAGATATCTTCTGCAACAGTCAAAATTCTGATGCAACGTTGACCAAAAATCCAACGAAAAATGCGGGGTTCTGCGCAGGCGCAGTACGTTCTGCCGACGTGCTCAGCCAACCTTGGTTGGTTGGTTGGTGTCTTGGTAGAAAGGTTCTGTATCAGTTCCTTTTTTATATATCATAAGGTAGAAAAGGGAAGGAATGCTAAAGCTGATAAAAGTGTATGTTTTTCTTGACAACAGAACTACGTACACTTACGTGTATGCATTCCCTTACATTTTCAGGTAGTGCTAGTGCTAGTACCAGTGCCCCTTCTAAGAAGAAAAAGAGTAAGAAGAAAGAAGGACACACCCACAAGAAGTCGAAATCAAAGAATCCTATCTTACAACAGTACGACCTTCACTGACCTATCCCATCATGCTCTAGTCCCATGATCCTCTAGTCCATGACCCTATGGGTGATATCACATTACATGTGTGACAATGTTGGACATATGTACTGTATAATAAGTAAAACAAAGCTGCAATGCATTTTTCAGAGAAATGGGGCATTTTTAGATGAGAAAGTTAAGTGATATATATGACTAACAGCTATTTTCAGTGTAAAGTAAATAGTGATATAGTTTGTAAAGGTACATGTACTTGCAGCAAGATGAAAATACAATCATATAGTGGAGTTTTCGTGATTTAGCCAATCTTGCAGTAAACCTTGTGTAATCCCTGTACCCTGTACTCTGTATAGACAGAGAAGCCATCAGACTGTAGATGTTATGTTGTATGATATTCATCAGATCTTTATTATTTGATATGATTAAGGCATGCTGGAAAGATCCTTACAAAACCAGCAGAGATGTATTTAGTTTTGTTCCATGTAGATTATTATTTGAGGGAGATGCAACAGTAAAGATTAGTAGTACTTTGTGTTAATTTCTGACACTGTCTGATCATGCTAAGATTTACTAGTATTTGTACATTTAATCCACAAAATGTACTGCGTAAAATATATACAAGTGTAATAGTACCTTAGATTTAGCCTAGGTACACTTCATGCTACCTTGCTCTATTGCATTTTGTCAACATAACTTGAAGAGTTGTGGGAATACTTTGATCTGACAGTGACTTGATTTGATATCAAGTATTTCTGGTGTTAGTGACACCCATAGGATTTATGTGATAGCTTCAAAGATGAAGTATTTAAGGCTGTAGCTGCATTAACACAACATGTTATACTTGAAAAGCTTTGGAATTTTTATCCCGACAGAAAAGTTGTTACATATTTACCAACTATACATGTTGTACTCGTAGCAAGGGAGTATTTATACCATAGTCACAATTAATATTTATTTGTGTCAACCAAGTGATCCAGTAACTATTTATGATCAAGTTGTGATCAAGAATTTTATCCACTTCTTAGCAAAACATATACCTCTGCAGGAAGAGATATACACACATGATATTGTATGGAAAAAAGAAACATACAAATAGTTAGATACAAAGCCAATACAGAGACTGGTCTTTTATGATTAAGATATGAAGACTGAGAACAGCAAGATATATTCAGAGAGTAGTCATCTTGAGTTGTGGAAAAGATCATGTGCTTTTCATGGTATTCTTGCCTATGAGGAAACCACGAAATGTTGAATGCGATGTATTGATTGGTAAATGTTGAAGATTTTCTACTTTCCTTTTCTTTGGGACAAGATACCACTTGACTGTCTGTTTTCTCTACAATGGATATTGAATCATGACTGGAGACAAAATTGATAGCTGAAAAAGAAAGTATTTGCATGGCAAGACAAAAGGATGTGAATGTATCACTTGCTCTGTGTGAAGAGGACTAAATTATTGCACCAGCTCTTCAACTGTTAGAATAAAACTTGCAGTAACTGATGGAAAGCATAATATACACAATGTATCACAAGATTTGTTATCTATACCTTGGATACATCATTGAGACCATTTAATTTCTTCCTGTTGTTCCTTGAGTTATAGTTGGAAGTTACTTTAAAAGATGTTACTTTTGGTGTCAGAATTAGAAGCTAATTTTGTTAATATATCTTTATTTGTCACTCCAGCAAGACAAAATTCTGTGTAATTTCCCTGGTTTTCTGTAGATGCAGCACTGTTTTGTATGATGCTTTTTGTTTATGGTTAATACGATTGTAGACAAAGATTATATCCTTTGTTGTGCATGCCTTTAGATTGAAGGCAGTTTATATTTTCTAGTGAGCGAATGTATCTTTTGTACTGTTTTGGTTATAACTGACTGCTATTCGTCAGTTACAGCAGCAAGCCCTGTAAACACTGTTTGTGAAAAGTGTTTTAAATACCCAACAAAAAAATTTGTACATGAGTATGTACAATAAAATGCCATAGAAAGTTGTTTGTGTGTGTGTGTCTTTGAAGAGTTATCTTTGAAAATGAAGTTTGATACTTTTGATGATCAACACCATCGCAGACAGCTCACCGAAACTTTTCAGTCACTCTTATGTTGACCTTCAGGAGTGATGTATCTTAGAAGTTAGAGATACCTGACTCGAGCCTGGCAGGTGATGTCGACTGGTGGGCTCTAACAGATAGCCTCTTAGTACATAGCTTCTTTTACTTCTCTCACGAAATAATCTGGTTCAGTGTCCAGTATTTGCACTTTATCCAAGGTGATGAAATGCCCTTCTGATTGGATGTGCGTGTGCTGCGACACCTTATGTAGAAGCTAGTTTGACACACCGTTTTCTGAAACAACCTACCTCCAAGTGATGGAGCATACATTTTCTGATAGGTGTTACTCTCTAAAAGGCTGGGAGGGAGGAGGTTACCACAAATGTTGTGAAACAGGAAGGCTTTAAGCATTTCAGAACAGAAAATAGATGTAGGTATCATCAAAGAGACATCTCTTTTCTTGTGGATTTATTGAATGTTTTATAGTTTGTGGACACATACATGTACAACATGCAACAATCAAAGTATCTTAAGTGCGTACATGTAGTAATAATTTTAGGGCAAGACGGCCAGATTTATTGTTTTTGTCCACAAAAACATTGCAACATCATATTATCTTATTGTCTGCACTATATATTTACACAATGATTATACTGTTGTGGTATTTCTGAAAGTTTGATATGCAACAATCATTAATTTAGTAATGGCTTTCATCTGATACATATACACGTGTATTGCCGTCAAGGGTGCAGTGAACTGCCTGACTGGTTTCATAAATGCATTTTTATAATAAGACATGTTAATCACTCTATCTTTAAGTGTGAAAGAATGAATTCAAACACATTTTGAAATGATATTCCAAACTTTACAAAATGAAATAGAATAGGTATATTTACATGGCTTATAGAAACATGTATGTGGCTTTCCTTTGGTACGTTTTGACTGAAGGTATCACTGTTGCTCCATGTGTAGAGGATGTTTTGAGACATCCCCTCTGTATAATCACAGTACAAAAGCACGATACTAGTATGCTCTAATGGTTTATCTCCCCTTATGTACATGTGATTCTGACACACAAGAATTGCTGTACAGTATTTACATTGAAAAATTTGCTGTAAGATGCTGCAATCTACAAATTGTACTTATGGTGTAAATTTGTAATACAGACCTCTGGTGTTTCTTGATAGCAAGTTAGCGAACATAGTGACTGAACAGCACTTTTGGAAAGAATTTGTAAGTTATATTGGCTTTCAATTACAGTGAATAGCTGATGATCGGCTGTGTTTTTTTACTCATCATCTGGATCTCTCGCTTTGATGAGTCGCTTGACGTATTCCTCTGCCCAGTCTCGTAACAGTTTCTGAAATGACACAGAGTTTACATTATTCAATCTACATGTATGAATCTGCCACAGTCAAGGTTTTAACTTTTGATCTACTACCTGTAACTGTTACCTTTTCCAGCCTAGACACCGCCTATACTTAGTAGTACTTGTTGGGATTGGGTCCCCAATTCTCTTACTGCTCTTGAAGCATATTGAATTCGAATGATTTTTGCTGGATTTAAATTTTTTTCTATCAAAGTACAATGTATGATGATATCAATTAATCAATCAATTAAAACTGCAAGCATCAGGGCAGGTATGATGATAACCTCTCTTTTATTTTGATACAATATCCTACTCTGAATACCTGATAGCCCTATAACATTACCGTATGTAACCTATGGTGTAGGGTACTGAAGGCCTACCTCTGCATACTCCAGACTTTTCTTGACTTTGCTGTTGCCGTAGATCTGCCGCATCTCTTCATCTGAGAAGATGAAGCGCTGCAGTTCCACAGGCACTGGCTAGGGGGAGAAAGTGCACAGTTAACTACATACAGACTGTATACAAAATGTATGTACCTCAGCATAATCAAGACCTTCTTAACTGTTGCCATAACTTATAAATCCCCCTCATTTCCTCATCCGTGTACATATGTAGATATGAATGCAGTTCCATTGGAATTGGCTAGGGGGCATGTTTAGACAACAAGTGGGCCCGTTGTCAATAAAGCATTTCAACAGCATTGACAAAATTTACATACAGTTTACCCGTATTGCGGTTCAAACTCTCATTTAGCTGCCTACCCATGAGTGACAGCTACATGTATTCTTCCAGTAGAGGGTAGTGTACACAAAGGAAATAGGAATACTGTACATCAATGTACAATTTCATAAGATAACATTATATACAATTATTTCTTTATAAGAGGTACACTTAATCCTACCCATGGCTGTTCCTTGGCTGGCACTGATGCCCTCCGGACGAGGTTTAGGAACAGTGTGGCCAGAAGTTTTAAGTTCCTCTCCCCAACATCATCCAGCATTGTTGTGGACAGACCGTAGTCTAGTGGCTTCATCAGTAACTATGGGAGGAGGGGGGGATTCAACAAGCTAAACATTACACCATGCTGCAACCAACTGACAAACTAACCAACAGACCTACTATGTCACTGGATATTTGGATTTTCGTATACACAACCAGGGATTTTTCCTTAGCCTTGGTTATGTTTCGAAGTCTATCAGACATCTTCAGAGCTTCAAACTTCCAAAGAAGAATCCTTGGTTGTGAATAAGAAAATAGAAATATCCTGTGTTCTACCAACCGGATGAAATTATGTTTAGGGCTACTATGTCACTATTCAAAAATTACACACAATGTTCACAAGATAACTGACAACCATCCAACAGCATTGACTGATGTCAACAGGTGTAAACAAGCCTGCAGTACTTGTACAGCCTGCTAGTCAGCGCTCTTACCGTGGTTATGAGTCCCCTGGACAAGTACATGCCAATGACCAGCATGGCCGCCCTGCGCTTATTTACTCGAACTGTTCTGTCCAGAGCATCAAACTCCAGCTCAGCCTGTGAACGGGAACATTAACATCAATAGACTAATATCAATACAGATGGATAACAAATGCATTATGTTTACCTTCGCATATGGTCTGCTCTGTTAATTCTTACTCAAACACATATATATGGTCAGACAGGAGTCTAAATCCCTCCTGCTATAAAATTGCAACATGATGTAACCCAACACTAGCTACCACGGTGACAGACTTCTGGTTCAGGTCATTGACCTTTTGTGTTTGGAGAAGAGGAAACTGAGCAAAAGCAATATGTTTTCCTTCAGCAAACATAAATGTGGTTTAGACACATAAAGCAGCAATAGACAAATGATTTAGAGTATACTGTACCCTTTCAAGCTGCCAGAAGTATCCCTTGGGGAAAGTTTTCCTATCTTGTACCAAGTGGAAAATCGAGGCTTTCTTGTTGGTTCCCAGGACACCCTTGTCCGGCTGTAGGAAAAGTAAAACATAACTCAGAATCAATTTATTTTCAACTATGATATAATATTATAATGATTAGTAAATTGAAATTATTGTTGATGAACATAATTATCATTATCATCAATACTAATGACATAATATCAATAATCATTAGAATTATCATTGATAATATTTATAATTATTAGTATTTGATATAATAAAACTTAATAATTCAATGTGATACAGTAATAAGAATATTTTACTACATGACAATTATAAAAATTGATTATGATTAAACTAAGACTATGAGTATCATAATTATTATTATCATTGAAATAGATAAACGACTGAGAAGTCCCCAACTCGTACCATGATCTCGGTGATGTTGTAGGTGAGGTTTTCGATGATGTAGCAGACCTGAGGAATGGCTTGTCTGGAGTCCACAAACTCCACAACAGAGCCTCGAGCGTCACGCTACAACAGCAACAAAGCATGCCAGAGGTTACTCTCCAAGCAGACGTTTGGGCTTTGGTGTGTTTTTAGGCTTTTTTATCGGGCTTTCTACTTTTGTAAAAAGATTTTTTAACAAGTCTAAAAACACCCCCAAATTACAGCCTGACATAACATCTTTGAACATTTGTTATTGTTCAAATACAGTAAACCAACAAAAGAAAAAATTAAATTAACATTGTTATTATCCATAGTATCAGGAAATAATTGTCTACAACAGAGACAACACTCCGAATTATATTCAATTTGTCTCTCTTGTGCATGTCTGTGCGGCTCTTGGTAACTGATATGTGCCTTACCTTTGTATCTATGGTTCCGTCCAAGACGGCCGTTCTTAAAATCTCGTTCACAGGGCCTTCCGGCTGGAGAAACATAAAAATTAATACATTTATTTGTATTTATTAGTAATGGTACATGTCAACACAGGTAACGTCCGATCCACAAAAAGTACAGACGTAGTACAATACGAGAGTAAAAACATATCACAGTAAGAAACATAAACGTCAAAATGTAGCAACACTCAGTAACACGCAATCGAAGCTTTTTTCGGAATTGATACTTACATTTAGGTATATCCTATGCAGGGCTGACACGGCTTCCTTCAGGTGAATGCCAAACAGGAACTCTTCTTCTAGTCTCTTTTCTCGATTCTGTTGAAAAGAGAGACAAAACATGGAAACACATACCGTAAATAAACATTTGATTTTACATTGAAACAATTGTGGCACCGGGAAACATACCATCCAGTCTCACAATATCAACGTAAGAAACATACGGCAGCGAAGGGGACTAAGTATTACTAAGTAAACAATGGCTTTAAGTAATCATGACTGTTATTGATTCGATTTTTTTGTGGCCATGGTGTAAATTCATTTTTAGTATATTTTTATTCAATAGAAACGCTTGAATGTAAAACCGCTGAGAGCATAAAAATATACATCTATCTAAATAATCAATTCCTGGTCTTTACTGGTCTTTATGAAATTGAAGATGAAACAATTCCATCCTACCTTTTTCTGCTGCGCCTTAAGAAAAGCTACAAACCAGGCGGCGTAGAAGATATGTCTGAGCTTCCTGAGGAGAGCTGAAGAAGGAGGGAGGGGGGCAGTCAGGAAAAACTCATAGTTCTCATTGCGCTAGCCGCGGCGACTGTTGCAGGGCTTCTCTTGCTTGCAGTCGTTTGCGTTAGGGCTAATGTAAAAGACTGCAAGCAAGAGAAACACTGCAACAGTCGCCGCGGCTATCATTGCGCATGCACAGCCAGGGCAGACTTCAGGCAGTGGTTAGTTAGCAGGGAACAGATGGAAATAAAGGATAGAAGGAAGAGAAGACAGGAAGAGAAAGGGATGAAAGTTTTCCTGCAAACCTTTTCTTCCTCGTCCGGCGTGGCTGTAAAGAGAGACAGAAGGAGGGAGGGGTGAGTGTAAGGCGTGGTCAAGCCGCCCTGGCTGGGCGTGGCGATAGTTGGATGGACATTAATGTGATACGAGAAGAAGACCGGTACTTCTAATACAAACTTGATATCTTCATTCGCATTGGCAAATTTAACATTGAGTTTTTTAGCCTGTAATCTGAAGGCGGAGGCGCACAGAATGTTGAGTTTTACAACAACCCACTTCCTTTGAATTTAAACCTTCATTCTTGGGCTCTTTTCTTTGAACCTTCATCAATATACTTTAAATATAAAGACTGTAACGGCGCTAAGCGCGCCAAGCTATAAGGCGCAAAACGAGATGTCACAAACAGTATGGGATGTTCATAATAGAACCCAAAACAAACGTGCAATGCGTTTATTTGTATATTTCTTGTGGTGGACATATGTGCATTATCAGCACTAAACATGAACCAAACTTACGTGGTCCGGGAAACGGGATTTTCCTCGCTGGAGGCGGTGGAGTTGGTGGCTTTGGTGCTGGCGTTTCTTCAGTCATAAAAAGGATTGATTTTACATTTAGTCAAATATATCAATGTCTTAATGTATCCACTTAAACAACAATTACTGCACAAAATCCTACCTTTAAGCACATCTTAAAGCATGCGTTAAGGTACAGGTATTGGAAGAAACTGAAGCTTTACGCATTGTTTAAAGTGTGATTAAAGCCGATTTTGTTAATGTTAGTCAATCAAAGTCACTCTTAATACTAATGTGTGACAGTGTTGCCGAACTCAACAGTTCTGACAGAATTCGAAGTTTGATTTTGATTGACAGCACATTCAACCGACCTTTAGATTTAGGCGGAGTGGTGACAGTTCTAGGTCTGACCGGGCTGGGCTGGCGAGGGGTGGGGGTCGGGGTCGGCTGCTTCGGCTTAGGGCGTTTTCTCACCGGCGTTTTCGTCTTGGCTGGGAAAGACAGAAATAATGTCCATTTTAATAGAAAACAGAAAACACCGACTGTATTTTGATTGACCTGGTAGAGAAAAAAAGATTAAACAAAACGATAGAAGGTTGCCAAGGTGGTGATTTGCCCTCCTTACACCTGTCTATGTTAAGGTCACATTTCCAAACCAGGGCCCGACCGGGCAGTGTTATGGAATGGTATAAAAGACAACAAAGCACACAAAAAATGAAAAAAAAAAACATAATGGGAATTCGAATTATTTGCACATATTCTCGATATAAATTGTTGATTTTTCGTTAATCGAAACAGCCCGGCTGGGCCCCGGTTGGGAAATGTGACCTCAGCATTAGAAATGTAAACACAATCCAAGAGAAAAGCCCTACAAGACTTCTCTCTCGGTGTTGTCAAAAAGCTTTCACTAAGTGTGTTCAAGATGGCCTCAAAACGAAGACACGTCATCGGACGAACACCCGCACCCATTCCTCAGTTTCCTTCAACCGATGGAGTAAGGTGAGAGAGGTTTACTGAGAAAACAAGTCTAAGACGATTTGCTGGGAGGTCTTTGTTCACCCTGACACACACCGAAGTTCCTCGCCTGTGTGTTGTACAATCAGCCATGTCAGTGGATGGCAGCTCCGTGAAGAAAGGTCGTTCAGGAACCGGTGGTATTTCGGGAAGGGAATGTTGTTGTCAAAAGGGTCGAAATAGTTGGTTATGCAAAATAGTGGCTGGTTTAAATGCACGTGGTATGATACGACTGGCTGGTTTACAAGGACAGGAACGCTAGTACTGCATAGTACCTTCTTAAGGGCACATGTTTGAGATACATCAAGGATCTTATGCCTGAATATTTTCGCTTTGAGGCGCTTTGATGAGACAACTTCGCAAAGACCTAATGTTGTTTGTGTTGTACAATGGCTCAACAGAACTAAAGAAACCTAGCTCAGTCAGATAGGCTTTAGATAAGCAAAATAACACAATATTGAATACGTTCTCCCCAGGCTGATTTTTGTTGGCGTACATTCTGTATAGCATGTATATACACACCTGTTATTAGTTTGTTTTATCAAACGCTGAATCCTACTTCATTGTAACCTAATAAGGGTTTACATTAAAGTAAGATTCAAATTTGAAAACAAAACACGAACCTAATATAACTGCACGCGGCCTTTTTACCACATAGAAGCAAAGCTGTGTTGTCATTGGGTCTTTTCATTTTAAATCAAGCGTGACGGGTTGGATGTAGAGTGGGCGGACTCCTTTGTGGTCGTTATAAGACACCTGTTAGCTCATGTTTTCTCACATGTCATACAATTTACTCTGTGTCAGTCTAAAGTTTACTTTGTCACTCTATACATGTTGGACCGTCCTTTCTACTGCCGAAAGCAGCAAGAGAGGAGCGTTCCTATTGGTGATTGCATTTGACAGGTATATAAGGAGACTTTCCATTGGTCAGTTTTGTCCTGCTTCTGACGAAAAAGCCAAATATTTTGTATGTAAATAAAAAGAATTCGTGCATGACAGCTTTTTTGTTGATGATTGATAAGGAATTGATTGAGTCGACACAAAGAAGCCACGCCCACAAAAGAGGTTGATGGGAATTATTCTTTAATACAAACATATTTTCCTATTTGTACACAAATCATTTTGCACATTTTTCCATCGACAAATACAACGGTTAAAAACTGTCGGGAGAAAATTGCCACGATAGACGCGTTCATATTCTGCAAACGGAATATTTGTCCAGATATGACCATCGTGCTCAGCGTTATGTACACGACGCACCACTCTCTATACGGTCTATTTACAGTTGACAAAAGAGTCAAAGTCCTACTCTAACTAGTCCGTATGTAAAGCCCAACGTCAGGTAATTTTGCAACATAGTTTACTTGGAAATCTGACGCCCTTATTTTGTTTTCTTTGCGAGAAAGTGGAAATGTTTGGTATGGTGAGGTAGTGCAAGGCCGGATATTACGTCAACGATCCGGATATTACGTTAAGATCTTAATTTGAATTCTGGGCGTTTGATTTTGCTTGGTACTCGAAGGAGTTTTGCCTGTGAAAATGAATTCATTGGCGTTGATTTTAGTTGCCTGAAAGAAGGGGCTTTAAACTACGGTCATGCATGCCCTGTACATTCTACAGACTTTGACACAAGAAGGGTAGAGGTCAAATACACACTACACTAAAACTTCAAAATGGCGCCCACATATACGTTAACCTCTATATTGTACTCTTTCATCTTTTCATACAAGCATTTAGGTAATAATTATGCACCTATCAACGAAACCCAGGGGAAGACAAAGGGGGTATAACTAGGGAATGCAGTGTACATGAGTTCGAGTGAAATGCTGAACATGCCTTTACAAAGAGTATCGTATATATGACGTTAGGGCTACACAACCCCATCCCCTTTGGGTTTTCTTTGACAGGTGCATAATCATAGCTAGGCGAAGCTGCTGTACGTCATAGTGACGTCATCACCCGGCAGGTCAGAATGCCTCGTCATAGTAGTCTGGAAATAATCACACAGGCATTAGGGATGGGACATGTTCATGTTCAAAGCAAGCTACAGGCAGATTAGATCAACAACGTGATCATCATTGTAGTATTGCAGAATTATGGCACTTAAGTTATCATCATCATCATTAATAACGTCATCATATGCACAGCAATCAGTTTACATGATCATCAATTCTTTTATTGCTAGATGAGAAGCAATGTAAATCTAGACGGCAATCATTGACCATTTGCTACCAATATGGTTATTTGTAGTTGGCATCCTGGCTGCTTCGCTGCTGCTCCAGCCATCTATAATCTCCAAGCAGATCCTACGTTGGCAAGGCTGTAAACATTGGCCAAAGGAGTGTCCATAAGCCTAACGGTAACTCGATTGGTTACAACCTTGCCACTGTAGGATCTGCTTGGAGATTAGCCATCTTGAGACAGATAGATATCTCCAAGCAGATTCAAGGGTGGCAAAAGACAAGAAATTGGCCAGGCAGTATCCATCCGCCAGAGAGGGTCCAATACGCCACCCAGGGATGCTTGGAGATTATAGATCTTACAGTGTGAGTTCTCTTCACTCAGTCTTACCTGTCTGTGGTTGGTAATCGGGACCGACCGTTTGTGTTGCGCTTGGGGGTGGGGGCGGCGGGATGTTCCGGTATACCCTCCTCCTGGAGGTGGACAAAAGACGAGAATGAGAATCAAGATGGACAACACATGTTACGTGTTGTTTTTTATAGCTACCTGTTTTGGATTTATTTATTGCTCATCACGAAAATGTATGGGAAAAAGTGGTGGACAACTCTAGCGGCAGCTTATGTTAGCCTCTTCATAGAAGGAAAGAAAATGTAACTGACAGAGACGAAGAAGTTCTATAAGACATAATAATATTACAGCTTAAAGGTCGCGATCGGGCACTCGGAGATGCAAAGGCAACTGCCCTGGTTTAGTCATATGCACCTAGACTCTACCAGACTTCGTGAGGCGGCTAGAAAGAGCAGAAATTGGCCAAATAGAAAGATAGCATGCCGGGGTAGTTGGTCCACTAGAGAGTACATTTGCCGCACCCTACCATCTGATTCAGATCTCTCTCGAAGCAGATATGCAGCTTGAAAGGTCGTTGCTTTATCAGAACATCTACACGAGATGTGATCGTAAGCGTGTTACTCACGGCTGTAGCGGCGGGAGCTGTGTGATGTGGCTGACGACAGGTTGCGGCGCGGCCTGGTACTGCACGGCGGGCTGCTGCACGGAGGAGTAGTGGTGATGATGGTGGACGGACGGGGGACGCTTGCCTCCTCCTCCCGGGGCCTGGACAACCACCGGCGCCGGGGGCTCCTGCATCACCTATGATTGGCAAAGGTTCACGTAGCATGTTTAAAGTTAAACCTTTTGATCCAACACAAAGAAATGTCTCACCTAGAGCTTTCGACCAGTCACTCTGGTCTTCCTCAGTAGACTGACCCAGTGAAGCAGTGTTGACGTCACACTTCAAAGAAGCCACGTGACAAGCTTCACTGGGTCAGTCTACTGATGCCTGAGTGACTGGTCGAAAGCTCTAGGTGAGAGATTTCTTTGTGTTGGATCAAAAGTTTTAACTTTAAACATGTAACTACTAACACAGATGAACTTTCATGATAGTTCACGTAGCATGTTAGTCGATATAGACGTGATTTTCAGAAGGAAAACATCTTTTCATCTGGTTACAAACGACAGTCACTTCAATGACGGCTCCTTCGTCAGATTATCCGTGTGCAAAGTTATCATTGCCAGGGGATTTTTGTACAATCTATCCTTTCTGCTCTGCTTCTGGGAGTGAGCAAAATGACAAGGATTCCTTCTTGATCGGCGGGTAGTGGCCCCAAAGCCTTATAGTCTAAATATAAAGACTCGAGCATTCGAGCATTTTCTTTAGATGCAGCATTCTATTGCCTCTAGGTCCCTACAAGAAATCGTTGTATGTATTCATACCTTTGACTCACTTACAAAATCAAAATATGGGCCAAATCGCTATATATGTGTGTGTGTGTGTGTGTGTGTGTGTGTGTGTGTGTGTGTGTGTGTGTGAGAGTCAGTCTCAGCAGACTATGACTAAACTGCGCAAAACCAGAAAAACAAATGGTTCATTCCTAATAACAGTACAAGGCAAATTTGAGTCATAAATCATCATACAAAATAAATGTCCAAAGTACAAGTTAGAGTCCGTTCATTTTTCCTGGCGGCCAAATCGCACTGGCTATATAAATAAATATATAGCCGAGTTGCAGCGTGCCAGATGCGATAATGTTACCCACCTGTACGGGCAAAGACACCTGCTGCTGCGGCAGGCCCTGCTTCATGGGCAGGTGCTGGAACATCATCTGCTGCATCACGATCTGATGCATCTGTGCGTTCTGCATCATCATCATGTCAACCATGTCTGCGGAAACAATAAACAATCATAATCATGTCCACTGTGTCTGCGGAAACACGAGTTTAGTTTTAATTTCTTTCAATACTATCGTTGAAGAGATTCATTTGTCACGTATAGATACAGTTACTAGTGAATTCTTTCTTCAGTGACAACTTTGGAAGGATAAGGATACTAACCTCCAAATTTTCGATGGCTATCAGTCCATCATCAGGCTTTCAATACTAACATTTAACATGGTGGTGACGCACTCAGACAAAAAAGCGCGTATGAACATTACAATGCCAAAGTATTTTTCTAACTTACAAAATAGCAGAAATTTGAAGAAGGCATTCTGTGATGTTGCGTCATGAACATTAGAAAAACTGCAAATGATATCGATGTATATCCCCGGCAGCAAATTTGTAAATGTCATAATCAGTGACAAAAATTATTAGGAACTGTACAGTAAACTTCAAAGTTTTTCTTTCTTCAGTGTTATTCTTAGAATTCCTTGTACATATATCAATGGTCAAAACGCTCTTAAAATCCCATGACAGACGACCACGACTCACCATTCCTGTTGAGGAAGGCGGAGTTTCTTGTCTCTGGCGCAGCTGGCGGGTAGACGTTATGTATGAGCGGGTTCTGCGGCGGGATCTGGTTGACTATCGGCTGCGGGACCTGCACCGTAACAAGCCAACATAGGGTCTTATAACTCTCAAGTTAATCCTAGGATTATTATATGGTAACACTGGCCCTATGTGGCAGAGACTGGCATTCCCGTATAGTGTCGCCATAGCCGAAGCTGTAGGGCCGTTAACAATTAGGATTTGATCATGGTCAATGCCCGAAGGAGGTCATATATATATTGACATTTGAAAAACCGCCTAACAACTTCGATGGCAGAAAGAAAATCAGAAAGGCTGAATGAATGACAAAGTTGAAGTGAGCAAAAAAATGGGAAAAAATCGAAAGAAATCTCGTAGAGAGCTTTGCGATAAGTCAAACAAAAAATTCTAGAAGCTGCCATGAACTGAATGAAACTGTACCTGGTTGACGATTGGCTGCGGCATCTGGTTCACGATGGGTTGTACCACTGGCTGAGGTTGCGGAGGGGGTGGAGGAGGTGGAGGCGGGATCTGTGACGTAATCTGGTGCTCCACTATCTGTCTGTGCGGCATAGGTTCGGGACGGTAGACCTGGGCGGGAGGCAATCTTAGATCACTCGAGAATTCTTAGATTAACTGTCTTCATATGTCGTAGGTGTTGATACGACCTCGAAACGATTTTAAACCCTCTGGTGGCTTGTTATGGTACTGCAGTAGAACGTTCGGTTTTAATATCTCGTGATCTTGACATGCTAAGCTAATAATTTTTTCATGGTAGGTAGCTCTTGGTCTTTAAAAGAGTTGGGGCCCCTTGCAGCTTTTCATGCAACTGCAGAGACGTTTGTTCTAAAATCTTTAAAGGTGAATAACTGAAGAATCAGTCTTGACATTAGTTTCGTTCCACATATCTGAGGGATTTTCTGTGACCTTAGTGCTTACACCTTACCCCCACAACAAAGCCGGTATTGCTAGCATCTGTTTGTTTATTTGTTTGTTTGTTTGTTTGTGAGCTGACCTGTATGTCAGGTAGAGACCGGGCAGTCCGGATGGGCGTCAGTAGTCTCCTATGTCTGTGACCCCCATATGACCTTGGCCGGTACATAGGAGACGGTGTTCTATTCTCGTTCAATTTTTCGTCCTGAAAAATAAGAAATTGGACTGTTTAGACCTTAGAACTAGTACTATAATACGCATGTTGATTTATTCATACACTTGTGCGTAGGCTAATGTTTAGTTGTAATAGTCTAGACGTTACGTAAGTCGCCGCCATTTTTCCGTGTCAGTAAAGACTGTATTGATATCAGCTATGGAGAAGAGGTGGTTTCTAACTTTTCGTTTAGAAAATGTATGCAACGGGCTGCAATTGTCAGATTCAATATCATCAACCACAAACATGTGAGCATTACAGCTAGCAATTCGACGACTAAAAGAAAAAAAGTTATCGTTAATATTGAACGCTTCAAACTTTAAGTAAGTTGAAGATGAAGCAATGAACATTGCCCGTAATATAAACAACAGTTGCTTACTAAGAGAATGTTTGTGGTCTTTCTTGTTTTAGATTCAATATTAAAGAAAAGATTGCTATGCAACATAATGTAATCAAGACACAGAAATATCGCCCTGAAAGTGTAATGTTTAGAAGCTGCTGACCCTTAATCTGTTGAGGAGGTCCTGTCGCCTCTCTAGCGCTCGCTGCAGGGCGTCTGGCGAGTTAGCGGGGTCTACCTGGGTCGCTGGAGGACGAACAAAACAGATCAACCTTAAGTGACGTGACAAGATTATAACTCTTTACTTAATCCTAAGATTAGTATATGATAACACTAGCCATTTATGTGGCAGAAACTGTCATTCTCGTATAGGACTGTTCAGATATACTAGTAGCCGACGATTTTACCATGGTCAGTACTGACCGAATGAGGCAACATACATGAACATTTGAACACCGCCTAACAACAACTACAAGATGAATATGATAGCAGAAAGTCTGCATCAGAGAGGCCGAATGAATGACAGAGTTGAAGTGAACAAAAAGTACCCCCAAAAAAGCATAAAGTCGGGAGAAATCTCGTAGACAGCTTTGTGATAAGTCAAACAAAAAATTCTAGAAGTTGCCCTGAACTTGGATGCACTAATCTTGGGTACACAGAGGTACCTGTCCGTGTGGTCTAGGTCAGGTAAATTTAAAGTGATCTTCCAAAAGCCGCCAGGATACACAGATATGTAAAGTTACCCGCTGACATCTCAAATAACAAATTTCCCATCGGAATGGAAATTTACATTCCACAGTCGTGCTGTGTACTACATGCGCTAACCCGGGACTCTAGAACTAAAAAAAAAAGATGAGACGCGATATTTCTCGTGTGAACAAGGCTACGCTTGAAAACTTACCGACAAAGCAAGGAAAATCAGCGGACAAACTTAGAATCGTTACGGGGGGAAGCATCCAGTCGTCACATGTTGATCCGTTCGCGCGCGATCTGATCCTTTCAGAAATGGACTTTTGATACTTCTACAGGTCTGTCGTCAGCTCAAGACTCGGCAAACACTACGGACCAGTTACCGCTGCGACAGCGCGCCGCATTGTTGTCACTCCGGTCCGAACCGGACTGTTTTGTGTACCGATCAACTGTAGAGAGCGGTAGCGGCCATAGTTACCGTCGCCAGGGGACCACAATGTAAGTAGTTTGTACCGTGGAGGTCATGTCAACAAGAATGAAACAGTTGTTTATTCTTTCACGATCTTCGCGAGGCACGACCACAATCTTTCACGGAATCCCAAAGAAAAGTCTCTAATTAATTGACGGTTTTAACATTAAGACTCAAGAGGTTTTTGTGGCCGTGAACACACGGGAACCGGCCTGGGGTTTGGAATGGGCATAGAAACATTCCTGGGTGTCTGTAATTAAACAGCATCATTTACCATTACTGTCAGTCCGGTACCTAACAGGTTTGACGGATGGTACATTAATGACTTAACCTTGGCGGCAAAACAAGTAGATCGCCGATCGGAGATATTTGTGGCGGTACAGAACTCCTGTGGCGCTTTTGTACCGCTTTCTACAACACTGAAACTTTGTCATTCTTCAGTTTTTTTTAGCCACCTGTTGTTTGAAACTGTTTTTATTTCGTCCGTTTTGTGTCAGAAACTACGATCAGATCAAAAACAAGATACGTCAACAATGCACAACACCGAGCGATCAAAAAATACAAAATACTTCGCAACATACGGACGTAACACAAAAATCGAACATAATTTTTTTTTCAACAATTTTTTTTCTTGAAGGATAAAGAAAACTGAATATTTGCTTGTTGTGTACCACATATTTGTCTCTGCCTGCTCCCTGTGTCGTCACGTGATGTTGGTTACCCCGGCAACAGACCTCCTCTTAACCCCCTGTCCCACCTACTTACGGCGCCATCCCATCGACAAATATTAGACGTTTCACAGCGGCAATAACTCAGCCACTCAGCCGTAATGATTAATGTATATCTGATAACCCAGGGCTATAGAACTCAATAGGGCGGGTTATATGTTTGTATGGCCGGCCGATGGGGGGGGGGGTGTTTACCACGAGCTGGCATTTGGTTGATACTCAAGCAGAGATTTAGGATTCAGCTAATCTTCTTTTATTCACATACACAGTATGTTTAGTGAGTATTAGGCAAAAAAAAACAAAGATTGCTCATGTGACGCCTTCTACTCAGAAACATACAATTTTGTAAATGTGAATGAGATGTGGACCCTCGTAGCAGTAAGGAACATAAAGAACTGTCATTGTTACCTGTCTCCTGTTACTGTATTGCAATGAGTATTATACTTGATTGTACAAGCAATTAGCCTTCGGGCATGATTTTGCAAATAAAGTTTCTATAAAGTTTCTATTGAGATGCTGTAGCTCTACTATGTTAGCTACTAGTACTTTTTGGCTTGTTTTGGGGCGTTTTTATCAGGCTCTCTTTGTTGTAATGGTATCTTTGTACGCCAGCCTATCGAGTGGCAAACGGACACTTTCTGACCAATTTGATACTGTCTTGCAGACACCGAAAAGATCTGCTTGGAGATTATTGCTAAATAGCTTTCCACGTGTGGAGACTTTTTTTGGCAAGACGATCTAACTGAAATCATTCAGAAAGTCATTATCGTCAAATTATGTATTTATTGTCCTTGCACTTAAAAGAGAAAGAAAACGAGTAGAAAGAAACCATGATGAAGATGAAGAGACAGAACGAAAGTGAAAGATAAAAATGTGCTAAATTGCCTTCATTTAACGACGAAAGCAACGTTTATGCACCTGTTACTGTAAACTTTAGGTAAGAGATTTTAAAATCCTCTAAATTACCTACATGTAATAACAAGGACAAACGTACTGCCGTAATACCTGATAATCCTATTACTGATGCAACTCCCTTTTAAATAGTCTTACAGAAGGGGTGGGAACTGCAATATTTGCAGAGAGCATCCTTAATTCACATACAGGCCATTGATGGAACTCAGTGGTGTATGGAGAGGTTTACCGACGCACAGTAGTCACACATCTCGGCAAACACTGATGTCCATAGTTACAGAGTTTGTTTGTGTGAGTTAAGGCGCCATCTTGCTACACCAACTGAACAAGAAATAGCCATGCCTTCAAGTACCAGAGTTATCAACTAAGGATTGAGGTGTTCAAAAACTCATTCTTTCGTAGAACTATCGCAGAGTGGAACTCACTGTCACCAAGTACAGTAGGGGCATTGTCATTAGATAAATTTAAACAATGTTAGATGTTGAAAGTTTACTATATAGGTTTAACAAGTCGTTCGGTGTAATGTAGCCAGCTGTTACAGGCAGATGTTACAAGAATTTCAAAAATGAAAGGATTGATTTTTTACCTGTTGATGGAGCGTTTTCTCTCTCGTTCTCAAGTTTCTGAAAGAGAAAATGAAAACAATTATTGTCACTCCTTGACAGACACTTTAATTAAATAGTTACATCCTATGTGGTATCTTCTGTGTTGTTAGCTTCTCAAAGATTTTGGCAAAATTTCCGATCATAGTACGGACTCAAAGATATACATCAATAAATGAAAATTTGTTACGATAAGTTCAGACCTTACTCTCATATCTGATCTAATGTTTACTATAACAATAAAGATAATCCTGGACCTAATCCCGACCAAATGATTGTTTTAGCTGATTGCGACATCTAATATGACCTCCTTTGTCCAAACCGTGACAGCATTCTGGTAAAAAAAAACGCCCAATAAGCACGTACATGTCAGCGACGCTTAGAAGAGCAGCGCACATAAGAAATCGACCATGGTAATAAAAACTCCACCTTAGCAACCACTTGATCAACACTTGAAGATAAGATTATTCCCTCTGCATTACCACATACACAAGCTATTAGCACAAGTCTTCCTGAACGGGAACTAATGAAGACAAAGTGAGTTGGGAATGTAATGTGACTACATGTTAGACGTACACCCCGGGATTAGACTAAACCTTGGCACAACACTGGGAGTAATTCGGACGGGTGAAAGTCAAAGGCACTTGGGAGGTGCGGTCAGGCGTGTTGACAGGCCTAACCCTCAGGTTTTAATCACAAAAGTCAACTTCAAAACACTGACGTGACAAACCGTGTTTTAAGGTCTTGTCGGCGCCATTGAAGTAAGTGTAGCCCATTAACACTGTTGCTGTCAAGGTTGAATTGGAGTGGGCGTTGTGCTGGTAATTAGAGCATGACACTTACAGTCTTTGCACAGGTGAGTTTAACGTTAAACTTTCTAGCAGACAGATATGTTATGAGTGAACTGTACGTTTGAAGACATTGAATGAAAACATGAAATTTGAAATAACCACATAACGAAATAATAGACCTCTTCTTCAGAAATCCTTTCTAACGTTCATACAATCAGTGTCCTCTCTTGTGCCCTTTCTTGTGCCCCTTCTTGAGATATTGACTACGCGACATGTTAAAGATAAAAGCGGTTACCGAGTTTCGTCCAAGCAGAAGTGACACCCTGTCGACCCAAGACATTCATGGAAGACGAGATGACATCAGAAAAGCATATACAGATCCCGGTAATTTTGGCTAGCCATGCAGATAGCAGATGCGCAAAAAAAGAGCGAAAAGAACTACTTTCTACAGTATGACCGTTGGGAATAACAGTTTCTCCGCGTGTCTGTCAGGGTCGCACGTGGCATACAAATCGATAGATTCCATAAACATGGCTACTACTGTTTAGCTAAACTGTGTTTAGCGAAATGACCACTTGCCGGTTACTATGTGAGTTACTATGGAAACCGTTACCAATAGCAACAGAAGTCTCGTCAGATCGAACATCCGGGACATCTTCCTGTCATGACGTGGCAAGATGGCCGTACGTCTTTATAACCAAGACAACTAAAACAGTACTTATCCGTTAGTGAGAAAACCTGCGGAGTGAAATGATACGAAATTTCTCAGACTCAGACTTTAGGCCGGAATGAGGCGGTGTCCACTTCCGGAAGTGTCACGAGGTGTTAGGAAAACATGGCCGAAGTGGAAAAGGGCAGCAAACTTAGAAACAAGCCGGTACACACATCATTAAGGCACATTAGAGAAGACAACAAAGAAGATAACAGGTACATACGTTTTCCCTTCAAGTAGGCCACGGGAAAGTACGGACTGGTTAGCTGGTCGTCTGTTCTAGAGACAACCTGACTAAATGATGACAGAACTCCGGCTGCATTTGCATTTATAAACTGTTCACTCGAGTGAAAACGACAGGATACCGTAAATGTCACGTGTTGGGGTGTATGGGGTGTATACCGTAAATGTCACGTACAGATACACAATATGACATTGTCAGTCGCTGCTGTACAGTGTTTCTGGGTATGACGTTGACGTTACGGTAAATTAAAACTGAAAAGCAAGAATCGTGCCGCTTCCTGTTTTTCTAGAAGTAACTTTTTCGTAAGTGGTGGTTTCTCGGATGTATCCGCAGTTAAATAAAATGAACAAATACTTTTAACAAGAACAATAAACATCGTGCAGTGATATGAAATGAAGATAACGGGCTTCGAATTCAGGGCGATAACAAAAAGTGTCCTTACTGGGCCGATTTTGAGTGTAACAAGTAAAGGTGTACGTATCTTTCAATCGTAACAAAGTAAATGTACTGTATGTCTCCTTGGCAAGAAAATGGAACTAAAAAAAAAGTAACAAAACCGCTTTCGCATTCATGTGTCCTCCCTAATTCCAGCATACACGACTATATTTTCTATCTATAATAAAAACAAAACTTGCTATCTACTTCCCTAGAGCAAAAAAAGAGGCACAAAAGAGTTAACACATTAACGCATCCATGCTCCATTATACATTTTCGTTTGCCCCATGCTCCATAACTATTGTTAGCACAGGAAATGCGCATTTCAAATAATCCGTGTAGCCTATTTTTGCGTCATGTTTTTCAAGGTTAAGTCCCTTTTGACCACAGGTCAAATAAAAAAATAA